TCTTGTTTAGAAGATGGAGGAGATGATGCTGTCCTTTCAGGACTGTTTTGGGGTTAACACAAATAGTAGCCATAGCACATGGCACTCAAGTACAATGATAGTGGCCATGGCATATCTCTGCAGGCTCAGGCCAGTACTCTTGGGTATACCCTCTTGGCCCCCGGCCCCAAACCTGGCGGATTTGCAGGTCTTCAGCCTGCTGAGTTAGCAAGACCGGGCTGAGCTGCCCTGCTGTTCTTTGACCCCGTCTCCAGATCCCCAGGGCTCCCTTCCTGCCTTCCTCGAGGCTGCCACTTTCCACCCCACCCTCGCACCGCGTCCTCTGAGCTAGCCCAGCTCCATGGTATAACTGCCCTGCCACTTTCCATCCTGTGCTCGCGCCTTGGTGGGAGCAGATGTTTCCCATTTGCACTGGGAGCTGGGTGCTGTATGCATCTTTCAGGTTTGGATGAAGTGGGTGACTGTCAGGCTATAAGCAAGCTAGTGGGGTTTTCTTAGAAGACTCCACCACTGACTCAGACTCTCTGGGGTTCCCTGCACAAAACACAAGGTAGAGTGGGTGTCTGGCGTTTTCTGACTTCGCTCTCTGGGGTTGCTGGTGAATCATCTGGCCTAGAAAATGACATTGTTTCACCCCCAGCACCATCTCTCTGGAAACCAGCTCCAGTAAGCTTAACCACAAAACATTCAGAATTTGAGAAACATGCTTTCTTACCTCTGGATCTTTACATGCTGTTGTCTGCCTGGAAGCCTTGCCCGACCCTGAAAACTAGAAGTCTTTTTTCTAGGTCTTGAAAGTGTGTGTGTGTGTGTGTATGCATGAGCACGTGTGCACATGTGTATAAGGTGTGTTTTGGCTATGTGTATGTCTGTATACCACATGTGTGCAGTGCACATGGAGGCCAGAAGAGAGTGTCAGATCCCCTGGAACTGGAATTATGGGCAGTGGTTAGCTACCACATGGGTGCTGGGTCTGGTAGAAGAGCAGCCAGTGCTCTTAACCACTGAGCCATCTATCTCTCTAGCCCGTTAGGTCTTTGAAACTGCTGACATGCTCATCTGTGTCCACGCTGTCTGCATTCAAAGGACTTGTTGACCATTATACTTCCAGCACACAGTAGGTGCTTGGCAGGGAGTAGGTTGTCCTCCGGTGCTGATTGAGTTACCCAGCCCGCTTGCCTGCAGGGACTCAGGAGAGTCTTCTGCTGTGTGTTGAAAGTAGTCCAGCCTGTAGCCTGGGAGACTTAGGAGAATAGCCGCTTTTCTTTACTAGTGGAATCTGGAAAGAAATAGGCATCTACTTTTCACAGGCCATGGGGATGAGTGGACTCGGGCATTCATTCCGGGCTTCTCTTTAGGAAGGAATCTACCAGGTCAAAGCACATAGGCTGTGAATGTTGAATGCCAGGTGGTCCAAGAGTGTGGGTCGAGGGTCAGGACCCTGCTTATCTCCAGTGGGCGTTTATTTCCATTGTCTATTTTATGAATTTTTTTCCCTAAGCTTAATTCTCTATTCTTTTAGCCTTTGTTCCCTGCTACAAGGGAGAAACAATCCTTATCTTTCAAACAGTGCTCTACAGAGAGAACATTTAGCCTTTTCGTCTTTTTAAATTTTTATATTACATTTTTACTTATTTGTCTCTGTGTGTGTGCATTCGTGTGATGAAATGTGCCACACACGGCATGAGCGTGGAAGCGTGAGGATAACTTGGAGGAGTTGGTCCTTTCCTTCAAACTGGGTCCCGGATCAAACTTGGGCCATCCGGCTTGGTGGCAGGTGACTTTACCCACCAAACCATCTTGCTGATCCTGTATTGTCTTATTTTGAAACAGGCCTTACCATGTATCCCAGGCTGGCCTTGAACTCACGATCCTCCTTGCTTCAGTCTCCCCAGTGCTATCATAGGTGTGTGCCACCATGCCTCGCTCTTTCTTAGCTTTTTCCTACTCCTGGTGACTTCTTGAGTGAATGAGTGGCCCGGGGTGGCACAGGGGTGATGGCAGGGTGCTGAAGTAGTACTACACCTGCACTTTTGCTGACCTCGTTGGGTTTGATTGTTGTTTATTTTCTTTATTTTGTGTGTGTATGGGCGTATTGCCTGCACATATGTCTGTGCACCACTTATGTGCTTGGTACTCATGGATACCAGAGGAGGGCAGTGGATGCCCCTGGAACCGAAGTTACAGACAGTTGTGATGTGCCATATGGGTGCTGGGAATCGAACCTGGGTCCTGTGGACGAGCAGCCAGTGCTCTTAGCTGTTGAGCCATCTCTCCAGCCCCTTCAGTGTAGTTTTGAGCCCTCACATTTGTGCCAGGTTCTAAACCCTTTGCTGTCAGAACACTTGGTGGGACACAGAGCTCGCTCCTCCTGTCTGGTGGGCACTCACTCCTCGAGGCCACCTCTCCCTGTTGTTTTAGTCGGCTGCTCCAGTTATTCTGGAGGACGCTATATAATAGAGCCTTTGGTCCTTGGCTGTGCATAAAGATTTTCTACATGAGCTCAGGCTCTAGAAGCATTTTCTTCTCTTGTCTCAGATGCAGTGATAGGGGCAGGAAAGCATGGAAGCAGAGGCTATGCATCGCTCACTGTTGAGCTAGGAGCCAGCGGCACCTGAGGGCCTCCTGCCTGCCAGTAATCGGTGAAACTCAGAGGGGAAAGAGGTACCTGTTGACTGGGATGCCCCAGAGCAGCCCATTGGCCTGACTTGAGGCTGTTAGCACTTGGAGTTCCCTTTTCTTTTCTTTTCTTTCTTTCTTTTTTTTTTTTTTTTAAAGATTTTATTTATTATGTATATAGTGTTCTGTGTGTATGCTTGCACACCAGAAGAGGGCACCAGATCTCATTATAGATGGTTGTAAGCCACCATGTGGTTGCTGGGAATTGAACTCAGGACCTCTGGAAGAACAGCCAGTGCTCTTAACCTCTGAGCCATCTCTCCAGCCCTCCCTTTTCTTCTGATTAAAACCAACCATGGAAGGTTTGATTTTTCTTGGTGATAAGAAGGGAACATGGTAATGTGTGGATTAGATCCTTTGGCCAACAAGAAGGCCATAGTATACGGATCCACATCACGGGACCTCAACTTCTGATGTGTCACTGAGAACAAGGAGATGGCCTCAGGCCCCACCCGAGGCTGGGAGGTGCTTCGGGTGTAGAGGAGTGAACTCCCAGCTCCCACTTCTGAGGCTTGACAACCATGCCAGTGCCACGGAGTCCAGTTCAGGGGAGTCTTGGCCTGGAATTAGCAGGCTCTCACAGGTGACTGCCTACATCCCTTGTCTATATCACAGTTCCTAGGTGTGGTTTGAGTTTTTCATTTATGCAGTATATCAGTTACTTTTCTCTTTGTTATAAAATACCTGACAGTAACTTATGGGAAGATAAATTTATTTTGGCTCATGAACTAAGAGGATTCATCATGGTGGGGAGAGATGTGGAGTCCATGGTGGTGGGAGTGTAGGACTCTTCACGTTCCCTCATGTTCTGCTTCTGTCAGGACAGGATGGGGGATGTTGGCATTTATCAGGCTTTTTCTTTTCTCCTTTTTCTTCAGTCCAGGACCCCATCCCATGGAATGGTGCCATCCATATCAGTGTTGGTCTTCCCTCCTTGGTTAAGCCTCTGGAATTGGCCTCAGAGACACTTTCAGAGGCATCCTAGGTGCTTTCAGATCCAGTCAAGGTGACAGTCACAGCTGGCCTCACACGTGTCTCCAGTTGATGCTCAGGGCCATTATGGCACAGTGTGATAGGGAGTCAGAAGTCTTGAGAAAATGATGCTATGTTTTTGGCATACACCATTCCCTGTTGTATGACAGGATGTGACAAAAAAAGGGCAGAAAACAATAGTGTTGGGTTTTTTTGTTGTTTTTCGTTCGTTTGTTTTTAGCAAACCTTACTGGAAACCCTATTCATGACCCAGGGCAGCTGCCTCCTTCTCACTGAAGTAGGAAAGAGCCCAGGTCCTTGGGTACTGGTGAGGTTAGGTGGTTGAGACAGACACTCAGCCCCAAGCACAATCAAAGACATACAACTCTGAATGAAGTATAGTTTGGAGCCTGTCCTAGTGGCAAAATCAAGAGAGTAGCCAGATGTGTTGATCAAGGGTTGGAAAGTAGAAACTGTTACATGATTCACAGGACAAAATGGAAAAGCCTGTCTGCAGGGCAGTTTGACCACATGACGAGTGTAAAGTGTTTCTTCCCCAAGAAAGTAAGGCTGCTCAAGAGAACTAATCACTGAGATGCTCTTTGCAGTGTCTTAGATCAAAATACTGACAGCCTGACCCCTGGAAGGCTGTTGGTTGATGTTTGGGCCTTCGTGCAAAGTGATGTGGTAACCATCAAAACGTAATGTGTATCCAGTGTGGGTGCATGATTGTAACGTCACAATTGGGGTGCTGAAGAAGGGGGAAAATCACAAGGACCAGGCGAACCAGGGGTACATAGTAAGCCTTTGTCTCAAAAAAACAGAAGATGACATCTGTATGTTTTCTGTGGGTTATATGAGAACACTCTAGTCTGACTCTGAACTTCACAAACAGGAGGGGAAGGGGATGTGAACTGCATGAGTATTGGCAGCATGAAGCTGAGTACAGTGGTTTGCTGGACTGTCCTGCCTGCTGCGTTTGAGATCTTACATGCTAACAGGCAAAGCCATAGATGTCTTCTATTGGACTTTGCAACATGCTAAAAATTTTTGTTAATTATCATGGGGAGAGATTTACAAGGTATGTGAATGGGCTCAAATGGTTCTGCACAGAATTCTCACATGGTAAAAATAAATAAATAAATAAATAAATAAATAAATAAATAAATAAATAAATAAATAAATAAATAAATAAATGAACTCCTGTGTAATGTGCACGTAGAAGTAGCTACTGGGATTTTATTTTAGTCTTTATCTAATTGTTTTTCCTCTTTAAAGCAAAAACACACATCTCCTGGGACTTTCTTAAGCAGTTAAATTTAATTAAATCTGTTGCTGTTTTGACACAGGGAAGAGCATGGAGGAGATTAAGAAGGTGCTGCTGTTGGTACTGGGCTGTGCTGTTCAGGTAGGACTGCTCAGTGGGTGGAGAGGGTTCCTCGTGGCCAGTTCATCATTACAGGAGTCGCTAGGAGACAGTGTGGCAACTGTTTGTAGTGCCAGGCGCCTTGAGGTGGAGACCCCTCAGGCCAGGATGATGTACTGTGTGCTCCCTGCAGCTTGGTAGGCCACATCCCAGGCACCTGTTTTTGTGAGTAGGTTTCACTGGGCTGCCGTCACACTCCAGTGTTTGTGATTGTCACCGCATGCTTTCCAGCTGTGGTGGCAGGGTTGAGGAACTGTGACGGAGCCCAGGAAATGTAAAACTGTCACCGTCTAGTTGGATGTAGTGATACACACCCGTGATCTTAGCACTTGGGGACTGAGGCAGGAGCATTGTGAATTTGAGAGTAACCTAGACTACAGAGACCTTGTCTTTAAAAAAAAAACCAAAAAACAAAAAAACAAAGGGCTGGCACCAAGCTTAGTAACAGCACTTGGCTAGTCTGTATAAAGCCCTGGGTTCTGTCCCCGGTGCCACCAAGCAGACACAGTTGCCCTCTGGCCTTTCACGGTCGGAGTGTGCTTGCCCCCACCCTGAGTCAGGTATGCTCCCTCTACTTGAGAAGAGCTTATATGAAGCAAGCATTTCTGTGTCCCACCTAAGTTTTTACCTGGGAGGGATCCAAGGCCAGCCTCCGAAGCCAGTCTCCTGTAGGCGGCCAGGGTAGCTTTGTGCAGTCTTGGTGTGTGTGTTGGGGGGGGGGGGGGGGCAGGGTACAAGGACCCCAGGCCGGTGTGGGTGTGGTTGTCACCTGTGTTTTCTGTACCTGGATGAATACTTCCATTAACTTGTGTAACCCTTCACAGTGTGAGAGAAAAGAGGAGTTCATTGAGAGAATCAAACAGCTGGACATCGAGACCCAAGCTGGCATTGTGGCTCACATCCAGGAGGTAGGCACTGGGGGGTTGGGATGGCCGTGGATGCTGGGGTGATAGCAAGAGGCAGCATCTCCGTAGTGGAACAGTTTGAGAACGACACCACTGTGAGTGGTTCCGCTAATTCTAGGTTTCATAACCCACAGACGCATTGATTCTGTTTGGAAAGGTGGCCACCAGCAAGGTAAAATAAAATAGAGGTTTAAAAAAAAAATTGAGCACTTCAATCAAGTCATCTTCTGCCTGCTTCTTCTTGCCTTTTATGGACTCAGACTATTTTTAAGAGCTGTCAAATGGTTTAGGCTCAGACTTTGATTTATAGGCCCTGAAAATGTATTCTGGCAAATGTCATCCCGCTCTGAACAGTTGATCTTTATAGAGAGTCTCTGCTGCTGTCAGTGATACACAAGGAAACAAGCTGCCACCAAGTGAGATGTCAGAGCCAACAAGTCCCGAGAACGCTGGCTGCCTCAGGAGCCAGACCTTCCTGTCCCTCTGCCTGAGGTTGACTGAGATGGTCTCATCTGGAAAGGTGGCTTCCTGGTGGGGTGGATGTCCACCCGGGATGAACCTTTGTCCTGGTGCTAGGTGCCTGGTTAGGGCTCAGCACCCACTCTAATTAGACAAACTAGGTACACGCAGGAACGGGACCATGCGAGAGCCACTGTGCAGTTAGAATAGGCACCGGACACAGGGCCTTCCTGGCAGGTGCTGGTGACTTGACTGTAGCTGGGGTACCGGGCTCGCACAGTGGCTGGGGCACTGCAGGATCCAAGGCTTCAAGCCAGGATTTGAAGTAGGAGATCAATGCCACACCACTCATTGTGTGCAGTAGGAGGAGGCCCAGCAAAGCTGCCATAGGAGAAAGTCAGTATTGAATACATATTTTCAACCATCACTGTGCTCCTTGGAGTTTTAAGAAGTAGTCTGCCTTTTAATTTCCTTGTGGGTGTTGTGTTTTGCAAATATGTGTGTCTAGGAACTTAGGTCATTGAGATTTGTCAGTTCTTTGCCACTCACTGTTCTTCCTGCCCAGACAGCAGGATATTGGAAAAATAGAAAAGAAATACACAACCAAAGAGGCTTGTATAGACTAGCAATTGTGGAAGCTGGCCTAGGAATTCATTGGGTACCTCTTAAAAGACCACATGCCCAGGATCTGCTGTGGAGCCTCTTGTTAGAATCAAGGGAGGAGGAGATTGGGCCTGTAATGAAAACTTCAGCAGGTGACCGTGTGCCGCTTGGAGACCCTGAAGCCATCCACAATGGCCTTGAGACTCAGGGTCTCCCCAGCTCTAACGCAGATCAGGCCGAGGGCTTGGCCTTCGGAATCTGGCTGCAGGGTACCACGGGATAAGATTTCTCTCAGTTTTAGACATCTGGGTGCTTCCGCAATGGATGCCTCTCTTTCCCTGGTGTTACCGTCCCCATGAGACCCGTGTGTTATTCTATTTCTCTTCCGACGACAAGAGGAGGGCAGCTCAGCGAATCCTCGGCTCTCTGCTCAGGAGAGTGGTAAAGCCAGGCTGCCCTCTGTGGTCTGTGGGAATGAGACTCAGGCCTCAAAATCGCCTTAGACCATAAATAGCTCCCTCAAAGAGACCAAGGTCACTGTGTACGCGCTATTCTGAACTAAGGGGCTTAACATTTTTGTTCTGTTTGCATTAGATTTTATTTTAAGAAATAAGGTAAGACCTGCTCCTCATCCTCGCACTGAAAGGCTCACCTTCTCTATGTTGTGAGTTAATGCAGCTTACAGCGTCCCAGAGAATGTGAGTGTCTTGTCATCCTAGGAAAGGGGAAGCAGTTTATATGCCTCAATTCTGAACTGACTTAAGGAGCCCCGCTGCTAGGCATGGGAAGTTGATCACTGAGGGCTTAATGAGGTCTGGGGAGTAAGTTGCTGTTCCTTGTATGGGAATGAGGTGTAGGGTAGGCTCTGGCTCTGCCTGGGTCGCACACCACATGGCCCTGGGTGTTCGGGAATGCCGGAGCCAAACACAGCCGCCGCTGCAATCCTGGACCGTGTTCCCACAGGTGACCCACAACCAGGAGAATGTGTTTGACCTGCAGTGGCTGGAGTTGCCAGATGTGGCCCCAGAGGAGCTGGAGGCCCTCTCCAGAAACATGGTGTTCCACCTCCGCAGACTCATCGACGAACGTGACGAGTGCACTGAGGTGTGCCCGTGGGGCAGCTGTGGCCGGCCGGATGGGTCCCTGACGTGGCTTTTCTCCTTCAGCTTTTCTCTCTCTCTATCTCTGGTCTGAGTGCCGCCCAGCCTGCTGGTCAGGCTCTCTGGGGTAGGACACCGGTATTTCCCCTGGGTATAGCCCCCGTGGTGAATGGTCTTAACAGAGACGCCCACCGGAAGGGTCTGACCAGGGTGCCTAGCATGGGTGGGGTCTGTTTCCTCTGCTACTCTTTCCTCACACTCAGGAGTACCTCCCGCTCCTGGTTTTCAGTCTCTTGTCTCAGTGGTTCTTCATTTAGTCTGGGCCTAGACGCTGGGCCAGTCCAGGGAGCGCCAGCGAACCTGCATATCCCCGTCTTCTCCCTGTCTTGTGCAGCTGATCGTGGACCTGACACAAGAGAGGGACTACCTCCAGGCGCAGCACCCCCCCAGCCCCGGCAAGTTCTCTAGCCCAGACTCCACACCAAGCCCCACCAGCAGCCTGTCCAGCGAGGACAAGCAGCACCTGGCCGTGGAGCTGGCTGATACTAAGGCCAGGCTGCGGCGCGTCAGGCAGGAACTGTGAGTCCTGCCGCTTTTTCCTCTTCGCTGTGGTTTGAACCAAACATGGGTCTTCCCGTGAACTTTGCTTGCACGTGTGGTGTTGTGGGATAGCTCAGCTGGCGGGGCTGCTCCGACCGAGCTCCTTGTGGCTGAAGGCTCATCACCAGCCCTCTGCAGGCCTGCACTTGTAGGGAGGGCTTCCTGGTGCTTAGGCTCCAGCCAGACTGTCTATCAAAGTAGGCCGCTATCCATGCAGGCTTAGGTTAGGGCTGGGATGAGCAGAGTGTTTTCTTGGCTCTCGGTTCTTTCCTGTTTTCTCGAAGTTGTGAATGTGGCTTGTTCATCTGGGGAGTTGCTCAGCCTTACCTCTCCATGTCTAGTCTCACAGAGCCATCTGTGGACTCACAGAGCTACGGCTGGGCTGTCTTGTACACATGGGGACAATAGGTGGTGATTGGGTCTGGGTTAAGGGTGCATGTTAGAAACCTATGAATTTTGAGCTGGGGAGATGACTTACTGGGTACAGTGCTTGCAGAGTTTGGAATCCCAGCACCCACATAATAGCACATCTGTAACCCTGCACTGGGGGTGGAGACAGAAGGATCCCCAGGACTTGCTGGCTAGCCAGTCTAGCTGAAACAAGCCCCTGCTTCAATGAGAGACTGTCTCAGAAGACATGGACCAAATCTATGGGTACTTCATGCACTTACGCAAGTGAGCGGGTACACACACACACACACACACACACACACACACACACAAACCAGTCAGCACATGCACATGTGTGTAAAAACACACAGAATAAACATCACGAACATTTTCACAGACTCCCAGAAGCCTGCATGCCTTCCTTTCCCCTCTGTGGTCCTAGAAGTAGCAGCCTGTTCCCAGAGCCCGCCAGGAAACATCCTCCCTTTTACACTCTCTCCTAATTACCTGTGCAGGGAGGAGAAGACGGAGCAGCTTGCAGATACCAGACACGAGGTAGACCAGCTGGTCCTGGAGCTTCAGAAGGCCAAGCAAGATGTGAGCACAAGGCCTGGCCTGCACATACAGGGGCTGAGGCTGGGGTTCCCCGGTAACCGGTCCCAGGGGGTCAGGAGGTAGCAGGGGACTTGTCCAGCAAAGGTGTCCACAGTTGTCCTGAGAGCTTCCTGGGGTGCCAACCATGTTTCTTAGTGAAAGTGTGGGAGACTCCACAGGGTGGCCTGGACACGGAGCTCCTAGGCCACCAGGAGATCCCATGCTATAGGGATTCGACCCTTTCTTCCTCCTCAGATGAGGGCTTTACACTGGGTTTTCACCTTCTCCAATCTTACAGAATATCCAGCTGGCGGCTGATGCCCGGTCAGCCCGTGCCTATCGGGATGAGCTGGATTCACTGAGGGAAAAGGCTAACCGTGTGGAAAGACTGGAGATGGAACTAATCCGCTGTAAGGAGAAGCTGCACGATGTGGACTTTTACAAGGCTCGCATGGAGGTAAGCGGCCACCCTCGAGATAGAGTGAGGTGGCCAGACAGGCTTCCATCCCGCGCTGTTGGACACAGCCTGCCAAGCACGTGTCCTTGGAGGATCTGAGCAGAGAGCCATACTCCAGCAGCTGCCTCCTCCACAGCCCACCTGCCTCGGTTCTTCCTGGGTCGCCTTCTAATCCTTCTCTCATCTCCAAATGTTGGGTGGGTGAGGGGGAACAGCGTCAGCTGATAAAGGGCAGCCATGCTTTTTGGTTTTTCTTTCTTCCGCTTCATGCCTGTCTTGGGGTTTCTATTACTGTGGTAGACACCATGACCAAGAGGAACTTTGGGAAGAAAAGGTTTATTTTATATTGCAGCTTGCAGTTAGTTGATCGTTGATGGAGGTCAGGGCAGGAACCTCAAAGCAGGAGCTGATGGCGAAGCCATGGAAAAGGGCTGCTCACTGGCTTGCTCAGCTCAGGCATAGCACCACCCACAATGACCCTCCCATATCAGTCTCTGAGAAACTCCTTCAGGCCAGTCTTAGGGAGGCATTTTCTCAATTGAGAGTCCCTTTTCCCAAATGACTCTAGCTTGTGTCAAGTTGACATAAAACCAGTCATCACAATAACATAATGATGGCTTCTATTTGGGGGTGTTTTTTGTTTTTTTGTTTTGTTTTGTTTTTGTTTGTTTTGGTCTGCTTCCTAAGGTTTGCAATTTCTGGGCTATTGGCTGGGTGTCAGTTTCTGTCTATAAAATAAAAATACTGCTGCTAATGAAGCTTTAAAGATGAGCACTGTGGAGTGCGGGTCCCCTAGTCTACCCACAGGCATTGGAGGCTGTGCCAGCATATCATGGTTACTTTACCCACTGTGTTTGTAAGTGTGGGCACACACAGTGTGTGTGTGGAGGTCAGGGTGACTTTCCCTCATTGTCCTTCTCTTCCCTTGTTGAGGCCGAAAGAGCCACCTTGTCGCTCTGGCGATGCTGCTGCAGACTCCAGGGGGCTGGCCTGCGAGCTCCTGGCCTGTCCTCTTGTTTCTGCTTCCCACGTCACTGTCGGAGTGCTGTGACGACAGTTGTGTGCCACCGCGTCTGGCTTTTTAAAGTTTTAAAAAAGATGAACCTTCTTTTTAATGGTGTCTGTGCAGGTGGGGGACTGTGTGCGTGTATGTGCAGGTTCCTACAGAGGTCAGAGGTTAGGTTGTGTGCTGCTCTAGAGAGAGAGGTGCTGGGAACTGTTAAGCACTGAGCCCACCTCTCCACCCCCTTGTGTCTAGTTTGGATGTGGGTTCCAGGGATGGAGCTTGAGTTGTCAGCCTTATATAGCAGGTGCTTTCACCCACTCTCTGCCCCCCTCTTTTTTTTCTTTTTGAGATTGGATTTTGCTATCCTGCCCACAATGGCCTTGAATTCCTGGGCTCCAGTTGTCCTGCCTCAGCCTTCTTGGTGTTTCTTCTTGGTGGCCTGGTAGCTTCTGGGGTCACTGAGCACAGGTCTAGCAGCCCTGTCATCCCTGCTGTGGGACTTCCCTTTCTTGTTGACACACTTACCCAGCTACAGCCAGGGTTGCTGAGGTGAGGATATGGCTGAGCACTGCTTCTCAGACCCACTCAGGGAGTGTCCCCCTGAGGAATGTGAGTGTCTGGATGACTCACCTTGCTCCCTGCTAAGAAGACACCTTGGATTCTGGGCAAGGAGCTGGAGCAGGGGCCCAGGCCTTCCTCTGTCTTAGGAACAGCTCCGTGGTTCACTGCCTCGGCCCATGTTGAGAGGTGTAAGTTCTGGCCTGAAGGGCTCTAGGTGGAGAGTGTGTGCCATTTAGGCTTTGATGCTTGTTCAGATGCCACCGTTGGAGCCTCAGGCACAGTCTTGTACAGGTTTCCCAAACTGCTGCCTCAGCAGCTCCTCCTGAAGTTGTGATCTCGAAAGGTTCCCCTGCCAGACAGGGTCAGGAATACAGTGTGATGGCCAGGACTCACTCCAGTACTCTGTTCCCCAGAGATGGGTGGGTCCCAGATCCAGACTCCACATTCATTCCAACATTGTCCCAATGTTCTCCCTAGAACATGCAGACAATCTACTCTGTTAGGAGCTGCTGCTGCTGCTGCTGCTGCTGCTGCTGCTGCTTCTGATGGTGATGATGATAATGATAATCGGATTTATGCTCGCTGCAAAAGGGAATATCTAGACGTAGAAAGAGGTTTGCAGGGAGACTCTTTCCCACCCATTTTCTCAACACCTGACTCAGTTTAGTACAGCAACACTTTTTATATTATTAATTTCATAAGTCATCATGAAGTAAGTAGTTCTTTAGGGTTCACATTCGTTCTAGTAATAGAAAGAATGTATTTGTCTACATGAGACCTTTCAGGGCAGGTAATGATGCATGTATGGGTTTGCAGAAACTGTGGGGTCAGAGCCACTTGGTGAATTGGGCCTGAGAGAAGCTTGTGCTTTTGGAGTATGACCCCAGGACTCAGGTAATGGTGGAGCACACAGTACTTGGCTGCTCCTTGGATTGGGAATTCCCAACAGCCGTGTGAGTGTCTTTACCCCTTGGAGAACATGAAGAACAGTTATGATACCTTCTTTGGCCTCTCCACACTTGACACACTTTTTGGTATGAGATTAACTTTGTGGTGATGTTGACTGATGTGGAGACAGTCGTGGGAATGACAGGGACACTGCCAGTCCCCTTTGTTGTGGGATATTTTTTAAGATGTGTTACATTTGTTTAATGATGCAAAGATGTGTCGCATTCTTTTATGTTGCATTTGGTTAACTCTGTGAAGCTGTGTTACTTTGCCTGTCTAAAACAGCTGATGGTCTAATGAAAGGACATCAGCCCCTTTGAATAGGTGCATACTTGGTTGACCACATCAACTTAATTATGAAACAGAAATATGAGTCTGAAGCTATGAAACTTCTTCCTTCCCTGAATCTTAGCTCTTCATTTCTCAAGCTGTGATCTAAATCAGCTGAGGGGCCTGTTAAGAACACACACTTCAGGCTGGAGAGATGGCTCATCAGTGGTTAAGAACACTGGTCAATCTTCAGAGGCCCCAGGTTCAACTCCCAGCATCTACATGGCATCTCACAACTGTCAAACTCCAATTCCAGGGGATCCAGCGTCCTCTTCTGGCCTCTCTGGGCACCACGCACGTGGTGCCCAGGTATGCACGTGGGCAAAACACCTATGCATATAAAAAACCACACATGCCTTCTTCTTCCAAGGTGGATGTTAGTGATAGTTCAGCTGGTAATGTGCTTGCTACCAAGCGGGAGGCCCTGAGTTCAGATTGCTCCTGTGATCCCAGCTCTGCGGAGGTGGGTATCGGGGATCCCTGGGACTTGCTGGCCAGTCAGTGAGTTCTTAAAGTAGGAAAGTGATTGAGGAAGATACTCAGCACCAACCTCTGGCCTTCCTGACACATGGATTTCTACCTCCCCCCCCCCCCCCCCCCCCACACACACGGATTGAATTCCTGGATTCCCGAGTCCCTAAGGAGCAGGCCTCAGATGTCTGCATTTCTGTAGATGGTACTTCTGCACCCCCATGCTGGTGGACCTTTGCCAGTTTTCAAACAGGGCCTCACAGTGTAACCTAGGCTGATCCTTCTGCCTCAGCCTCCTGACGTGCTCCGGTGACAGGCGTGTGCTACCTACCATGCATTCTTTCCTACAGAGGCCCTCGGCTGCAGGTTGCTCACTTGCACAGGCAAGAATTATAGAACTCAATACCCGTCTGTGGTCAGCTCTGTCCATGTGGGCTTCCAACCCTGGCTGGGGATTCTACCTCACATGGCAGAAGGCACAAGCTTCTTGGGAACCCCTGCGCCAAGTGAAAGAAGCCATTGCTATGTGGAGTTCTGTGCTCTGGGAGAACGCAGGGGAGAAGGCTGAGCTTCGTTCTCCTTGAGACTGGAACGAGTGGAGTTAGTTATGCTGGGCAGGTGAGCAGGCTCATCTAAGCAAGAGTCTGGCTATAGCTTTCGCGTCAGCTGTCCACATTGGTGACACGTCTAGGTGACAGTGCTGGGGTGGGGGTGGGGTGACCGGGACATCCTCTCTGATGACACCAGTGCAGCTCCCCAGAGGAAGAGTGTGTCAGTCGCTGGTGGGAGGAGGAGATAAAGGAAGGGCTCAGGTCCAAGGGCAAGTGGCATTTCACTAGTACAATGCAGACCACAAGTTTGCAGTTTGTTTTTAAACGCCATCAGCTTTTCTGTGGTTCTTGGTCTAGTTCACAGAAGGGTTGAAACTGTGTAACTGGGAGCAGTATAGAGGCAGGAAAAAGTGTGGAGTGGGTACAGAGCTAGACCATGTGACTTCCCTTTGAAAACGGTGGTCCTGGGGGCCTCTGCCTGGGGCAAGAGGGTTGTAGTCCAGTGATCCTCAGGGACCACTACCTGGAGCAAGAGGGTTGCAGTCCAGTGGTCCTCAGGGACCTCTGCCTGGGGCAAGAGGGTTGCAGTCCAGTGATCCTCGGGGACCTCTGCCTGGGGCAAGAGGGTTGCAGTCCAGTGATCCTCGGGGACCTCTGCCTGGGGCAAGAGGGTTGCAGTCAGGGTTGTCGGGAAGAGACACAGCCTGGAAGGTTTTCTTTTTCAGTATTTTATGATTGGCTTAAAATTTCTGCCTAAGGCAAAAGGCCTATGACCGAAAGCTGTGTGCATCCTGGGCATAGTGGCAGTGGTCTTCCCTGTGCTGTGTAATCAACAGCCTTCTAGAAAGTGCTAGTTTCGAACTAATCAGAGGGGCCAAGACCCAGCAGTACACTATTCTGCCAAGTGCTGGGTAAGTCTTGTCCTGTTATGAAAGGAGGGGTGTGGCCTGCCCTGGCATCCCAGGCACAGAGGCATGCCTGCAGCGAGCTTATCCTAGCCAGCCCTTCTCTGTAGAGAACCCTGAGTGGAGATAAAAGCCTGGAACAGGTCTTGCAGGAAAGAGGCAGCCAGAGAGATGGGTGGGTCACTGGCAAGGCCCTGGCCCTTACGAGCTGGGTTAATGACCAGTTCCAGCGTGTTTCGTACCTAACAACCCCCATTCCAAGATCACACCCCTAAGATGACAGTAGTAGGGTCCAGGGTCAGGAAGGGACAGAGTTTGACGGTCCTGCCCAGACCCTGGGCCGACTCGCTCCCCTGTACCCTGAGGTTCCTAGCTCTTGTAGATGTACCTGTCACCTTCAGTGAGAGATGCCCAGGACTCAGTAATGGTAAGCGCCCGGTGCCTGGAGCTTTGGGCTAGCTCCTTTCCTGCTCTCAGATCTCCATCCCGGAGGAGTCTCAGCTAATGTGTCCAGAGTCACTGTTTGTGATTCTGTCTCTATACTGGCCTTTGTTGACTGTGGGGTCCAGTCATTTTCCTTGCACTTGTGCAGGGGTTCACCTCCTCTTTTTTCTCCTCACCCCACCCCACCCCACCCCACATGGATCAGGCCCAAGGGCCCACCATCTTTTACACCCCACCTCCCAGCATGTTGCTGTCCTAGGGAGGTATCTGAAGCCTGTGCATGCCTCTGACTGCCTCCTGCTGGCTTGCTCTGGTTACTCCATGGCTTATACACAGAAGCCCTCCCTGAATGTAAACTGACTGTGCTGCTCAGTCCCTTGGCCTGCTCCTGGGGTGCCCTCTCCAGTGGTCTCTCACATACCTCTCCATCGGGGGAATGACTCCATGCTCTCCCTTTGTCCAGCACTCAGTGCTGGGGCCCTTTGGCAACCCCCTTTCCACACACCCCACCCCACCCCACTCTACCCCGGGGCCTCTGCAGCAGACTTTACAGGTTGCCTGCCTCTCCTTCTGCTCATTCATTCAGGCGTTGTCCGCTTGGAGCCAGAAAGTAGGACTGGGTCTGTGAGCTCAGCAGGCCATGTCCCCAATCTCTTGCTTCACGTTTCTTTTATAAGCACCCCCTCCCCCATCTTTCTGGACAGTACATAAAATATGGTATTACTGTGATGTGTGTTTCTGTCTATGTTTCCTGACCAGACTCTGAGCCCAGGCAGATAGTATGTGCCTCTCTGATAGTAAGGCCTCTCTGTGCCAGGGACATTCTCTGCTCTCGAGCCAGCAAGCTATAGTCCATATATTAAACCTAGCCCATCATTGGCTTTTATGGGTACAGTTTTATTGGAACATGATGCCCCATCCTCTAACCCCAACAGAGAGTATTGCTTTCTGGTCCTTTACAGAGCAGGTGCACAGTGAGGCCTTTAAGTGAGCAGTAGTGACTGTAGAGCCTGGCCTGTGTTTAGCTAGCTCTAGGTCCACCATAGCATCTAAGGCCCACAGTGACCCTGTGAGGTGTAGCGGCCTCCTTTCTCCAGACAAGAAAAGGCATCACAGTTGCTAAGCAAGTGGTCTGGGATAGGAATGTGGCTGGCAGTCTCCAGAGCCCTGACTGGCTGCCAGAGAATGAGGGGGAGCCTTGGCCATTAAGGAGAAGAAAAGGGGCTAGAAGGGTATACAGGAGAACTAGAGGTGCTTACAGAGAGACCCCAGCCTCCCCCAGTTCATGCCCAACTAAGCAATCATGTCCCAAGTGAAGAATGTTAAGTTCCAGGGAGCTTGCCGAGGGGAACTCAGATGCTGGGTAGGTAATCTGTTCTTTCTGCCTTGGGGTGTCCTTTGTTGCTTCTGCGGACTGTGATGAGATCTATCGAGTTGAACAGAGTAGAGGGGACCTTTGGTTTCTGGTCTAGTCCCTACATTTCTTCAGGTCAGGCCACGTTACAGGCAGGCAGGCAGGCCGGCCGTCAGGGTCAGGGTAGAACATACCCTGCCCTTGACTCTCCATGGCTGAGGAGTGAGGTACTGGGTGAGGGATAGAGACAGGGCAGGAAGGAGGGAGAGGCCTGTTGCTATGGGTCCAGTGGCCCAGCTCTTCCTTCCCTCGGCACTCTTGGGCTTTCTGTTGCAGTGGACGCCAGGAGCCATTGTGTGTTGTGATCCCAAGCTCACTGGAAAAGAGACTTTCTTTGATTCCACATCCCCTCCGGTGTTTGGTGTTCGTGGGGGGGTCAAGAGGCACTCCTGGAAACCAGTTATTTTGTGTTGTTTGCTTTGTTTTTTAGTGGTAGGGATGGAGCCGAGAGCCTCAGGTATGCTAGGCAAGTCCTCCACTGTTCAGCAACACCCCTAAGCCCTTGCAAAACAGTTTTTGTCTGTTGACAAGGGAGCTGCTTTGTGGGTGAGTGCTGGGTTGAACTTTGTCCTTCGCAGGTGTGAAGTGTCTGTGACTGGAGCTGGTGAGTTCAGACATTGGGCACTGGGAATTGTACGCACATTATTAACCCACGTTTTCACTTAGACACTGTTTTCCAACCTGGGAGTTCCTACAGCTAGAGTTCGTAGTAGAAATGGAGTTGGCCCACTCACCCCCTGAGTCACTCTTTCAAGTCACAATGGCAGATCAGAAGTGGACTTTCAAGTCGCTTGAGGACAGGAACTCTAGTCTAACCTATGGCTGTATAAACACCCGAGCTGTGGACAGGGCAGGGTTGGGCTTGATAACAGCCTCCTGGTTAGGGCAGATAGGTATGCCAGATAGCTGCCCAGAGCAATGGAGTCAGCCTTCTCACCCCTACAGACCACTAGTGGAGTCCTTGGCCTGTAGGAGCTTGAGCATAGCATCCTTCCTGGCTGCTCGTTGTCCTGTGAGGTCGTCGATGTGCGGAGCAGGGTGGAATGTCATAACCTAATACTGGGGACGTCGAGACCAAAGCAGAGGCAGTTTGAAAGGTGCTTCGAGACGATCCTGTTGGGTGCTGGTGCTGTTCTGCTTGTCAGAGTGTCTGAGTCCTTCAAGGACCACCGCGTAGGCCGCCTCTAGCTCCAAGACTCAGTGGAAAGAAGTGTAACAGTCCTGTCCCCAAAAGTTCCCAGAGTGGGGGAAGAGGACAGGACAGCCACCATTACCTCAGAGAAGGAGCAGGGAAGGACGGAAACCCAAATACCCAACTTAGTGACAAAGTAGACTCCCAAGTCTACTTCAGCCAGCCACTAGTTCCTAGCTCTACGAAATCTTCAGCCTAAAGAGTGTGAGTTCCTGTTTCCTCATGCTTTAAATACCTTTCTCTGCCCAGACATCACTTCCTGGGATTAAAGGTGTGTGTGCTTCCCAAGCAAAGGCATGAGATCTCATATGCTGGGAGATCTCAAAGGCGTGCGCCACCACCGCCCAGCCCTGTTTCTCTCCTATACTGGATCAATCTCATGTTGTCTAGTATGGCCTTGAACTCACAGAGATCCAGGATCTCTGTCTCCCGAGTGATAGGATTAATGGTGTGTGCCACCACTGCCTGTCCTCTATGTCTAATCTAGTGGCTGGCTCTGTCCCCTGATCCTTAGGCAAGTTTATTAGGGTACACACTATATCACCACAGACCACAAATCACCACAGACCCTTTTGCTGATTTGAGACCCTCATTGATTGTTTTCTGTCCTATGTCATTGGTGGCAATCTGGGCCTCTTATTAACCAGAGGCCCTTGAGAAGTGGAGGGCCATGGAGGAAAGACAGAGTCTGAGCCTGCAGCCTAAGTGGGAACTTTGGCCTCGGCCCACAGCAGGCCTGTGACTTTGGGCGCCTTCCTTAATGCACTTGAGGAAGAGACTGACCCTGACCTGCCTGCCCTCAGAGGGGTGCTGTGAGGAGCAGGTGAGGGAGGACCAGCCACAGTGATGTGGTCTTTGTCAGGCATGGAGTCTCTGGAGGCAAATGGGAGACTCTAAAATCAATGAGCTGCTTCCCAGGGCCAGCTTGGATCAAGCCCCTGTCCGTGAGTGCTTCCCTCCACCAGGAAGCTTGGATTCAGGCCCATGTGGGAGAATGAGCACACGGTGGGTACGTGGAAGCTCCAGCCTCGGTCTTTGTTGCAGTCTGTGAGTGCGACAAGTCTTGGGAATCTTCCCCACCCAGGAAGTGGGGCAGTTCCCTGCATGCACTGTTTATAAACTGTGAGGATGTGGGAGACATGCAAGCTACCCCACCTCCCACCCAGGACACCAAGTGCTGCTAGGAAGGGCTCATGGGACATGAGAGGCTCAGGACAAGGTCTGATAGGCATGGCCCATAGACTGGCCTCTTCCTGTGATGCCTGCCCAGGCCACTTTCTGCCTGTGCCTGTCTGGGATTCGTATTTCCTGCTTTGCTGTGCTGTGACTTGACTGTCCCCTTCTTGTCTGGCCTAAATACTGGATAGAGGATCCAACTTAGTCCTGGGCTCTGTCCCCTCTGGTCTCTCGGCCACTCCCTTCACTTCCCTTTGTTAAAGGAAACTCGGGCAAGCGGTGACCCTCATTGTCAGCAGAGTCCACTTTCCAGTGGGGTCCAAGTTGAGGATCATCTGGCTGTGGAAGATCTGGAGGAAGGGTTGCCTTCCCAAAGTTCCTTGTTATCTACTGTGCTGGGGATCAAACCCTAGGACCTTGTGCACGCTAAGCATTCGCTCTGTGCTGATCTACACCCCAGCACCATTAAACATTTTCTTGATGCTTGGATTTTTTTCTTTGAGAGTTACTTGCCTGGCCTCAAGGGAACCAGTGAGGCCGACAAGGACTAGATGCAGAGCTTCCCATCACCTGCGTCCCTCGGCTGGTTGCTTGGCTCCAGGGTCTGAAAGCACTTGGTTTGGCAGTCCTGTGTCATGACCCTGGCCTCTATCTGACGGCTCTGCTGTTGGTGTTTGCTCTTCAGGAACTGAGAGAAGACAACATCATCTTAATCGAGACCAAGGCCATGTTGGAGGAGCAACTGACCGCCGCCCGTGCTCGAGGTGATAAAGTCCACGAGCTGGAGAAGGAGAACTTGCAGCTAAAATCTAAACTCCATGACTTGGAACTGGTAGGAATGTAGCGGGTGCCATGTAAAGAGGCGGTAGCGGGGGTGTAGGAGGCGCAAGCCCCTCGGATGTGTCAACTCCTGAGTGTGCTGCCTGCCAGCAGCTTGCTAACTTAAGAGCTTGCAAAGCTCGGTGCCTCAAGTGGACACTTAACTGCCCTCGAAACAGCTAGGACCTGACTTGTATGTTGCTTCTGCAAGGATGAGCACATATGTCTTTCTCAAGGGTCCTCAATGGCTCTTGAGTGGGTTGAGCACTGGTGTGTCATCCCTGTCACAGCCTTTGAGGCTGCAGAGACCTGCTTTAGAGGCAACAAGCTGTCCATCACCACAGTGTAATATTGCAAAGCACGTTCCTTGTGTTCCTACGCTCAGAGTGTTCACTGAGACCTTAGGACTTCCTTCTTAACCTAGTCAGGCCACGGGCCTGTCAGGTAGGGGTCCCTGTTGCATTGGGGCCCTGAGTGGGGTGTCTTTGTACACCTCCCTGTCTGAAAGGAAGCATTCTGTCCTTCTGAGTGGGTGGTGGTGGATACTTGTGTCTGAGGCCAGTTAGACCTCTCACACTTTCCCTCTTTCTGCCCTAGGATCGGGACACAGATAAGAAACGAATCGAGGAGCTGCTGGAAGAAAACATGGTTCTGGAGATCGCACAGAAGCAGAGTATGAACGAGTCGGCCCACCTGGGCTGGGAGCTGGAACAGCTGTCCAAGAATGCAGACTTGTCTGATGGTAGGTAGCGCCCAGCCCCGCCGTAGCCACTGCTCCTCATCCAGGAGCAGAGAGAGCCCTTGGCTGAGTCTGCGTCTTCCTGAGAGCCCATCTATTCTCCACAAGTAAATGTGATCTCCTCAAGTGCCCTTTGGAGCTGTTTGATTATGGTCGTCCCCGGGGGAAACGTGAGTGGCCTGGCAGCCCGGATGCCCGGAAGTAAACTACAAATGAAGTGTTGGGATTTCTTGGTTTCCCATATGGACACACAGGAGCTTCCAGATCACAGCTCTTTGCTGATGACAGAAAGCCCTGACACTAGAAGTGTCCCCAGTGATCACTAATCCTTATTGTAAATGGACCCTGGACATTATCTGCCCTGTTCATTTGCATAATTGGGCAGGATGGATTCAGCCGGTCCTGTCTCCCTGGTGGAGATGATAAGTGACTGTTGGTCCCCAGTCTCAGGCTCTTTATAGATCTTCCTGGGGGGAGAGGGGGAGGGGAGTCCTCCTTCCTGGCACGCACTGCTGCCCTCTGCCGGCACCCTGAGATAAGGTGTGCATTATGGGAAGGGTGGGGGACCCCAGTCAGCACTGTAGCAGGAAGCCCCAGCGCCCAGCAAACAATAAGCCAATTCCTGTGTTTGAAAATAGCCACATTCACCTTTCCCATGCACCCAACATACCAAGTTAGTACTGACTTAGCGCTTGACCGAGCAGGCTTGGGCGTTTGACTCGGTTTAGGTTTGAAAGATACCGATAAAAACTCCCTGAGAATACTACCCAGGTCGTTTCTTCCAGAGCTCTTACCAGCCCTGAACGTGAAAGCGTTGAATTAACTCGTTTCTGTGGACACTGAACTGTGTCTGCTTCGGTGCTTGTGTGCCCAGCTGGGGTGCCTGGGAGCCACACAGGGTGGGAGAAGGCATTGTTTCTGCCTCTGAATGAAGTTCAAGTCCACCAGGAGAAACTTCTGCTCCCTGGTGGACTGGAGAAGCGGTGCAGGCTCCCAGGACCAACCTCAAAGGCCTGATCCATTCACACTGCTTAGTATATAGTTTATGAACCCTTTAAGGTCAGCGGCCATGATTGATTTCTTCTTCTTTTTTTTAATTTTAAAAATTAGATTTATTTACATGTGTATGCATACATGGAAGTCAGGACGGTTTGTGGGGATTGGTTATTCCTCTACCATGTGAGGACCCAAACCTAGGTCATCAGGCTTTGTGGCATGTACTTTTCCTCACTGAGCCATCTCATTGGCCACATGATTTTGCGTGCATGAGTGTTTTTGCCTGCATGCATATCTCTGTAGTACTTGCATGCCTGGTGCCCACGGAGGCCAGAAGAGGGTCTTGGATCCCTTGGAACTAGAGTTATAGGTGGTTGTGATCTGCCATGTGGGTCCTGGGAACTGAACCCAGGTCCTCTGCAAGAACAGCTCTTGACCACCGAGCCATCTCTCTGGGCTTGTGATTTATTCTTAGTGATAGTGTTGGTTGGTCTCATTTGGTCTCACTATGTTGCCTAAACTGGCTCCAAACTCCTGGGCTCAGGTGAGCCTCCTGCTCCATTCTCCCAAGTGGCTGGATTAAGCTGTGCCTGGCCCTAAATACTTCAGATTGTGCTTGGGCTGCAGATTGAAGACAGGGCCTCATGTATACCAAGCACATCTCCATAGAGCTCTACCCCTGGCCTCTGTAGTGGGCTCTGAAAGAAAGACTTGGAAAGACACGGCTTAGAGTGCTGGCCCCTCTGCTTGTGACCTGGAGTAATACCATGTCTTTAAACTTGAGCTCCCCACCTGCAAAATGAGGGCAGCGAGCTTGCCCTCAGCCTCACGGGAGGAGACTGAGGCTTTAGCCCTACCTGGCCCCATTTATGTTTTCTGTACCTGTGAGTCCCGGTTGCTAGGTGGTCTGATGAACGAGCCTTTGTGCCTGATCAGGGTGGAGCTTGCCTGCGTTGCTGATAAGCTGCTTGCACTCAGTACCGGTGTTGAACTTGTAGAAGCTTGAAAGTCACTTTGTCCTGAGTCTCAGCATGGGAGGAGCAGAAACATGGATGGTAGTGAAATACCCAAAATGAGGCCAGCGAGACAGCTCAGCAGGTAAAGGCGCTTGCTGCCAAGCCTGAGGACCTGAGTTCAATGCCCAGAACCCACATAATAGGAGGAGAGTGTCAATTCCTGCAGGTTGTCCTCTGACTTCCATGTGCATGTACTCATGCACACGCACACGCATAAATAATTGTAATAAAAAATTGACACTTAAAATACTAAGTTTATGTAGATTTCACCATTATAAAAATGACCTCCACATAAATGTTGCAGAAGTACTGTCCAACAGGAAGAAGTAATGGCCACAGGTTGAGTTAGTGGACTTTTAGGCCAGGTACTTTACTTAGGTTCCTTTTTTTTCTCTTAATTAAAATATAGTTATATCATTTCTCCCCTTCCTTTTCTTCTTTCCAGTCCTTCCCATGTACCCCACTTGCACTCTCTCAAATTCATGGCCTCTGTATAATTGTATGTACACACGCACACACACACACACACACACACACACACACACACACACACACACACACACACGAGACAGAGACAGAGAGCTAAATATATAGATACACCCTACTCCGTCTGTATACTGTCTCTTGTATGTACGTGTTTTCAGGGCTGGTCATTTGGTATTGGATAACCAATTTGGGAGCTCTTGCTTGGGGAAGATAATTTCTCCTGTTCTCAACATTCCTTAGTTGCCTGTAATTCTTTGCCTACGTTGAGATCCCATGTGATTTCCCTGTGGCATGTTAGTGTGTCTGTTGGTATTGTCCTGTTGGTTTTGTTTGCGCAGCCATGATGAGGAAACTTCATGGTGTAGCTTCTTTGACATCTCTAGGGCATTAACTCTCACAGCCAACTTCCTGTTCCTCTGGCTCTTACAATCTTCTCACCCCCTCTTCTGCTGTGACCCCTGACCTTAGGTGCAGGTGTTGTGTTGTAGACGTATCAGTTGGGGCTGGGCACCACATGGTGGTTTGTTCTCTGCATTTTGATTGGTTGAGGTTTTCTGTCATGCTCTCCCTCAGTTTGGTGAGTCCTACACAGGATACATATTTAGAATGGGGTTAGACATTATGCTGGTTTAGTAAAGCCTGGTTGTTGGTTCTCCTCCAGGATCCGTGATGGCTAGGTTGCTTTCTTTAGCTGAGAGGGGGCCTCCCAAGTGTCTCTGAACCTGTGTTGATGCCGAGATTGGACCTACTGTGCGGTCATCACAGCCCCTCCCGTTGGGGCCGTTGTTGAGTCTCTAAGACGGCCTGTTGGGTCTGAACCTGTGTGGATGCTGAGATTGGACCTACTGTGCGGTCATCACAGCCCCTCCCGTTGCTGCCGTGGTTGAGTCTCTAAGACGGCCTGTTGGGTCTGTGCTGTTGCTCTGGTCGGTGATTACACAAACTCTTCCGTGCTTACAGTTGCCCAAGGCAACATCGCAGGCTGGGTCTGGACATACGTGGATGGCTTTGCTGAGGACCTCAGCACCTTCTCTACTTACTCTAGACCCTGGGTGATGAGTAAGAGTCAGGAGTGGAGGGGCAGAGAACATCAGCAGTACAGTGTGATGAGGCTGGAGTTGGTGAGCAGACAGAGGAGGGACTGGGGAACAGCCTTGACTGTTTCTTTAGGGTGTTTCAGGCCTGCAGCTTTCCTCCTCAGAAGCTCTGGGACTTACCTGAAGCCTTGCACCTGCTTGTATGAGGAAAGATCAAGAAGTCTAGTCCTTGACTCTCAAGAAAGTGCTGGGTTATGTGAACGCAAAGTAGATGCCTTTTAAAACATGTACCCCATCTCGCTGAGACATCTAAAGCAGCTTTGCATCCGTTGTCTGACTTTCTTCAACGTAACTGTGAAGTTAGAGGAAATCTCTCCTATCAAGGTTCTAGCCCAGGCTGGCCAGTGTGTGTGTGTGTGTGTGTGTGTGTGTGTGTGTGTGTGTGTGTGTACACACACAGGCACCACTTCCCTTCACTCACAGTCAGCTGGTCCCTTTGCCCTCCCTGCTCAGCAGCCTAGATGCCCAATGCTCCTGGAGTGGACCCAGAAAATACCTGCCGCCCTTGAGTCAGTTGCGTGAGCAGTGTGGTGATCCAGGTTCCCTTAAGTCCCACGATTGGCTCCTACACTGTCATCCAGTTCCTCCTTAAGCTCTAGATTGAGTGGACCCAACTGCCAGCAGAGGCCCTCCCTCTTGGGTGCTGAAGCAGCAGTCCCACTGGGATGAGAATGGAAAGCAAGAGGGGTGCCTAGCTCTCAGGGCTCGGTATTGGTGAAATTATTAAGGCCACTCCACATAGTTAAAAGGGAGGTTTATTTTGTGAGGTAACTTACAAGTGAAGGGATAGGTTACAGGGTCTGGGAAAGACATAGCGCAGTCCGGCGGTGTTCTCTGGAGAACTCTGCTCCGTCTGCCTCCAGCATCCAGGGTCCAGGAACCAAGAGAGCCGGCGCATCCAGATCTCAGGTATTCAGGGTCCTCTCTTGGCCCTGCCTTGTAGGTGTGACAGTTACTGAAGCCTCAATGGGGGTTGGAACTTCCAGATCAAAACTGGAATGGCTACCCACTACAGCTCGGCTTGTGTCAGAGGGTAGAAGTGGGTTCCCAGAATGCTAGGCCCTGACTGACTCGCACTTCAGCCTCCAGGAAGTCCTTCGTGTTCGAGCTGAACGAGTGTGCCTCCAGCCGCATCCTGAAGCTGGAGAAGGAGAACCAGAGCCTCCAGAGCACCATCCAGGGGCTGCGGGACACGTCGCTGGCACTGGAGGAGAGCAGCCTCAAATGTGGGGAGCTGGAGAAAGAGAATCAGCAGCTTGGCAAGAAGGTGATTTCTCCGGGCTGGCACAGGGGCACCCAGTGTGCATTGCAGGAAGTTCCGCGTCTCTGGGGCCCTTAACCAGACTCCAGGGAGATAGCCGTCACTTCCTTACTGGTGGCTCTCCTGTAGAACCTGTGTCTCATGTCTACATTCCCTCGATTTGCTGCTCAGTCCCCTATAAGGCACCTGGGGCAGTGAGGGGCAAGGGGACAATGTCTCCTGGGAGGAGACCAGCCCCTAGGACCTTGCCTCTGCTGCTTTCTCTCTTTTGTGGGGGGCAGGGCGCTCAGCTTAAACCCTCCTGCTGTGAATGGGACCTTTGTGGAACCATCTAGCTGTATTTACCCCTTTTGTGGTCCTTTGAAGTACTGTGTGTCATGTGACATTTTAGCTGCCAAATGACTTGTTTTTCCTTTAGAGGACACTAGGTGACACCCCTCTCTTGTGCCTTTTCTTTTGGTGCAAAGCAAAAAATGGCAGACTTGAGCACATGGTTTGGTCTCTGAGATTTCTGTGGTCCCAGGGCAGGGGATGTCTTTCTAAATGGGCATTCAGTGTTGGACCAAGTGAAAAAGAGCTGACATAAAAGAAGATGAAACCTTCCCACTCTGTGGGTTCTTACTGGGCTGGGGACAGCGTAGGTCACCTCTGCCCTATAGCCTCTCTGTATACACACGTGCAGTGGGCACTGCCATCAGCATGGCTGCTCCTGCCCATGTCTAGTCCTACCTTCTTCGGCTTCCCCTCAGCAGTCCTGTGGCCTCTTACCAGCCCTGTCCTGCTGTGCTCCCCAGAAAGCCATGACTTTCCACAGTTCCCAGTAACTAGGGAGCAGTAGGCACTAGAAAGAGGTTGCTTCTCCCAGACCAGAGTTGTCCTGTGTCCTGCCCGTATGTAGAGCGCCCTGCACCTGGCAGCAGTCTGTCCAGCCAGCAGCGGTGGCTGTTTTCCGTCCTTTATACAGGTCTCACTGACTGGGTCCCAGTTCCCTGTGTTTGATGGGTCAGCACTTCAGCACCAGGAGGAGGTCATACTCAACCAGCTCAGCTCCCCTTAATTTCCTTTCTCTAACCCCAGCCGTCCTCTGTGGGGTAGGGCTCACTGGGAGTCCTTGGCCTTCCCCTGCCTCACCCCTAGCAGCCAGGCTGCAGCCTGTTTAGGTCCGAGGTCTTTGTGGAAATCTGAGTTCTCAGAGCTCATGTTCTTCTTCGTACTTCCCTGGGTCCTTGAGACGCTGCCTCCCTCCTGTCTTTGTGTAACTTTATACCAGTGTCACCACGGTTCAGCTCCTTTAGACAAATAGGAAAAGATTCCATATTATCAGAGGTGGGGGGCCATGCCTGCTTTGGGGCCATTGCGAGAAGTCAGGAGCAGCTGTCTGAAATGTCTGAGCCCCGACTGTAAGGACAGAGCTTTCTCAGGCTCACGGGCCTGCAACTAGCTCTCAGCCCAACAGTCAGCTTACCGGTGGGCGAGTGGGGTGGGGGTGGGGGGGTGCTGTCTTCAGTAAGCAATAGAGTGTGGAACAGAGAGCTAAGAAAGGAGAAAATGGAGGCTGTCCAGAGGGGTCAAGCAGGAAACACAGGAAAATCCCATGTGTAGGTGGCAGCGGCAACATCAGACACAAAGGCTGGCATAGTTTTCTAGGAGTGGGGTCGAGCATATTTTGGGGAGTGAGATGAAGGCCAACAGGCATGGTCTTCATCATAGCTCAGGGCAGAGCTGGGGGCCTCATCCCACAGGCCTGGGAGTATGCATCGGAGGGACAGGAGTCCAGCCCTTCTTAAAGGTGTCGGGCCAGTCACTGACCCCTGCGGGCCAATGCTCTCCCTAACTGTGACCGCACTTCTTGTTTCTGGCCCCGCAGCTTGCTCTGTGCTGATGTGCTGAGCCACCTCAGCCTCCCTTCTGAGTATCAGGTCTCGGGTGAGGAATGGCACAGAGATACGGGTGAGATGGGAGGTCTTGATTTGGGGAAAGACCTGTGTGTGACACTTCGTAGCACCCTTCTGGAAAGCCATAACCAACATGGCTGGATGAGTCACGCCTGCTCTAGGGTCCTATGCTGGGACTCCTAACAACCATGATGCATGCACAGCTCTACTGGCCCCACCTTTCCCACTGATGGACCCCAGCTTCTCCCGTAGAGGGTGGCACCTCAAGAAGGAGAAAGATTGCTGCAGAGTCACAATAGACAAGGATGCTTAGAGCTGTGGGAGCTTACTCCTTTGTCCATGCAGCACCTCAGTGTGGACAGCCGAGTGAGAGGCACTGCTCAGTCCCTATGCTCTCAGGGTCTCTGGGCATCTCTGGTCCTCCCTTAAAGGTTCAGATTGAGTGGTGGCTCAGCTGAGCTTCAGATACTTCTCAGCATCACTTTTAGAGCAATGACCCCCAACCAGCAGCCTGAGGCACACTAAGATGACATAAAATGCAGACCTCCAGGCCCCATCGAGTCAGAAAGTGGGCGTGGGCCTTGCAGTCTCCAGGGAGGGTCAGCTAGCTACCTGTGGTCAGTAGGTATCATGATTGAGCATGATTTTTGACTCTTTGCCACTTCGAGACCAGCCTCAGCATCTCATGCTGAATATACTTGGTGACAGCAGGTAGAGACAGACAGCCCAGGCTTGAAGCCTCGGAAGAGTAGACGATATCATGGGCATCTCCAGAGAACAAGATTGGCTGCCCTGCCGAGTCAGGGCCTGCATCCTAACGGGCACCCCCTTCAGAGCCTGGTGTTGGTAGGTGGTAATGGGAGGGTTATCATCTGTCCAGGCAGAATGATAGAGCCTGGTCTAGGGCAGCAGCCATGGAGTGTGGGGGCAAGTAGAGTGGGCAGAAGGGGCAGGGCTTGATGACAGGTTTACCTGAGGGTGGGTGATAAAGCCTAAGCATCTGGGTGCTTTCCCCAAGCATAAGGAAGGGAAGGAGCCACGCAGTCCTTGTGGGGAATCCAGCACTGGGTGTTGGGGTATGTGGTCTGACACAGAGCGGAAGTAGATGAGGTCAAGGAAAAAAAAGCAAGCCGTGGGGTAGATTAGACACAAGGCAGCGTGGGTAACTTGGGACAGACAAGGGCAGGCTGCTGCCGAGTAACTTCTCTTACCTCAAGCAGGAGTGCAGGTGATGTCAGGTCGATGATGGAGGGAGGGAGGGAGGGAGGCTATTGCTGCAAAGTGACACTAACACCTTGTTTCTCAAGGGCCCGTGGGGATAACCTGGGCAGAGAAGGATCTGTCTGTCTGTCTTGTCTGTGGAAACACAGCTCACTTGGGTAGACTGACGTCACATTAGGCTCTATCTTTAAATCTGCAGATTGAAAAGTTGCAAACGCAGCTGGAGAGAGAAAAACAGAGCAACCAGGACCTGGAGACTCTCAGTGAGGAGCTGATCCGAGAGAAGGAGCAGCTGCAGAGTGACATGGAGGCCCTGAAGGCTGACAAGGCCAGGCAGGTAGGCACGCCGTCGCCGTCACCACCTCACTTGCTCATGCTAGCAGGAGAGGAGCTGAGGAGCACAGCCGTGTCTCCTCCACCCCTCTGTCAGTGTCTTCAGACAGTTGTGATTGTTCTGACTCTGGGAAGGAAAAGACCAGAGTCCCTGGCACAGTGGCTCTAGTTTCATCCTGTGGCCGTGACAAACACCGTGACCTAAAGCCATGTGGAGGAAGAGATGGTTTATTTCAGTTTGCAGGTGCATCATAAGGGAAGTCAGGGAAGCTAGTACTCCACCCTTCATACTTCCAGGAAACTCACTCACAGCCAAGGGAGTACAACAGGACCCGTGGAGGAGGATGCTTGCTCTCTGGCTCTCTCAGGCTCACGCTTAGTTAACTTTCTTGTATAGCCCAGGACTATCTGCCTAGGGAATGGTGCTGCCCACAGTGGACTGGGCCCTCTTACATCAATAAATAATTAAGACAGTCCGCCATAGGCCAGTCTGATCTGGGCAGTCCCTCAATTGAGACTCTTCCCTGGTGGCTCAAGGCTGTATCAGTTTGACGGTTAAAGCTAACTAGGGTGGAGGCTACTAAACATTCTGCAGTGCCCAGGACAATGACCCATTTCTGATAGCCTGTTAGTGACAGAGCAGAGACCTTGGCAAACCTGCAGGGTTCTGCTTGCTTCCACTTTAGGAAGTCCCAGTGTACTGATGGAGTAGCTCAATGGTGCCATTCTAAGGCTGCTGAACAGCTCCAAGGTCTGGACAGAAAGAACTGGAGGGTAAAGAGCAAGGCTGGGGTATCTGGTAATTTAGGTTTTTAGCTTGTGTTGTAGATGTGTAACAGGTAGGGAGAGGAAGTTCAGACTGGCACTATGCATGCTGAAAAGACATGTGGGCCCTGTCCATGGAGCTTACCTTAGAAGGCAATGGGCACAGGGGATCTTGTGTGAATAGACTGGAGGTGGGGGAGGCTAGTGGGTGCAGGGCCTCTTTAGAGCCATTGTGCAAGGTTGCTTGGGCACTGACTATGAGGATGAGAAGACACGGGAGGGACCGAGGCACAGAGAGCAGCAGCCTGTCCAACGTACCCACAGTAGGAAGAAGCTGGGAGACAGAAGTGCTGCCCAAGAGAAGGCCGTGGAGGCGGGCAGGGTGTCCACTGAGTCCTGCTGGCCATGACAGAGGGGGGACCACAGGAATCATTAACACTTTTAAGAATGAGAGTGTCATTTAGGTTTAAGACCATGCTCACTGTATGGAGTGTGTTTTGATGAGCCATGGATGGGTAGCTGTTGAAGACTTTCTACTTGGCAGCCCCCTTGTTAACCCAAATCATTGGTGTGGGTTCCTGTAGCACGCAGCCTGGATCATGCCTGATGTGTTTGCTCATAGATAAAGGACCTGGAGCAGGAGAAGGGCCACCTCCACCAAGCTGTGTGGTCCCTGCGGGAGAGGCCGCCGGTCGACAGCGCGAAGAATGTGGAGAAGGAGAACAGGGCCCTCCACCAGGCTGTGACTGAGGCCGGCAGCAAAGTCAGCCAGCTGGAGCTGGAGAAGCAGCAGCTGCACAGGGACCTGGAGGAGGCCAAGGAGAAGGGAGAGCGGGCGGAGGTGCTGGAGAAGGAGTTGCACCGTCTGGAGAAGGAGAATGAGCAGCTGGCCAAGAAGGTGACCTCCCTGAAGACGGTCACCGAGAAGGTCGAGGCCCTGGAGCACGAGAGCCAGGGTCTGGAGCTGGAGAACCGGACGCTGAGGAAGTCCTTGGACACCCTGCAGAACGTGTCCGTGCAGCTCGAGGGCCTAGAGCGGGACAACAAGCAGCTGGATCAGGAGAACCTGGAGCTGCGGAAGATGGTGGAGGCCATGCACTTCACCAGCGCCAAGATGGCGCAGATTGAGGCGGAGAACCAGCAGCTGGATCAGGAGAAGGAGGAGCTGCGCAGGAGCGTGGAGCTACTGAAGGCTTTAAGCAAGAAGTCGGAGCGCCTGGAACTCAGCTACCAGAGCGTGAGTGCCGAGAACCTGCGCCTGCAGCACAGCCTGGAGAGCAGCAGCCACAAGTCCCAGGCCCTCGAGAGGGAGCTGGGCGAGCTGGAGGCCGAGCGCCAGTCTCTGAAGCGAGACCTGGAGGCTCTGCAGCTCACCAACAAGCAGCTCGAGGGGTCCGAGAAGGACAGGAAGGCGCTGGAGCAGGAGGTGGCCCAGCTGGAGAAGGACAAGAAGCTGCTGGAGAAGGAGACCAGACGCCTGTGGCAGCAGGTGGAGCTCAAGGATGCTGTCCTGGATGACAGCGCTGCCAAGCTGTCAGCGGCCGAGAGGGAGAGCCGTGCGCTGGACAAAGAGCTGGCCCGCTGCCGGGATGCAGCCAGCAAGCTGAAGGAGCTGGAGAAGGACAACCGGGACCTTACCAAGCAGGTCACCGTGCACACGAAGACGCTGACCACCCTGAGAGAGGTGAGCCTCGGCCAGGGGCGGTGGCGAAATGGACCTGTTTCCAGGATTGGAGGTTCTGGAATGGAGGGGGGACTTGGTGTCTACCCTGAGGCTGAACACAGGTAGCTAGCTAATGGTCAGCAGCCTGGGGAGAAAAGGCATGGGGTGGTCTCACCGCTCATTAACAACCCCCTGGTAATCACTTCCTCTTACTCTGTGTTTTTGTTTTGAATTATGTTTTCATGTTTTTCCACATGAAGTAAGTTTCAGGTTTGGGGTGGTGGTTTTCTTACATTTATTTATCTGGTATATGTATAGGTACATGTGTGTCACAGTGTACATGTGGAGACTGGAGGACAACTGAGAGCGTGCTCTCCCTCCACCCTCTGGGTTCTGGGATCAAACTCAGGTTGCCAGGCTTGTCAGCAAGAGCTTTTAGTTGCGCGGGCATCTCCCTGGCCCCACACCGACTAGGTTTCAAAACCCCAATTGCTCTGTGACGGCAAGAGTTTTAAGCCTGTAGATTGACTTTGATGATTGTAGGTCCCTTTAGCTCGGAGTTTCCCACTGTTTTGTTTTGGGTTTGGAGCCATTTTTCTTCCTCTTTGGTGCTGTGGATTGAACCCATGGTCTTGAGCACACTCACTGAGCAGCATCCCCAGTTCTTACTGTTTCAGTGGTCCTGCATGTCCCTGTCCATGAGCATACATACCATCAGACAGTTTTTAAAGGCTATGTTTCTGGAAGTGGAGCGATGGGATCAAAGTGTGTGGCCATTTTAGCCTCTTGTATTTTCTGCTTCCCGGGTTATTTGTTCTACTTCCCTTGGTACCTTTTCTTGGGCTATGGGCTTGTCCATCATGGTGTGGCTCTAGTAGAGTGGCCCAACCTGTGGGTGTCATCCCAAGTTGTGTTCCAGGTAGTGGTCAGCTCACTGATGGGGGTACCTGGCTCCTTGTAGCTTGTGACTAAACTATCCCCTAGTGGAGTATCCTGGCTCATCAGCATGTGGCAGGTAGACAAGGAAGAGATCAAGAGAGAGAGACCGACCCTCTGGAGCTCAGCCTGAGGCGGCCATGGGGTGCTATATACCTACTTGAGAGAAGGGATGTGATTTCTAAGTGAGCCCAGAGCCATGACAATGTCCAAAAAAAACCAAAAAACAAAAAAACTATTGATGTAGGTTCAGTTGGGGAGGGACACAAGCCCTGCATGCCACCCACAGTCCATATCTGTGCAGGCAGTGTGGGCTATGATGCAGTTGCCAACTACCCAGGGATCTCCAGGGCTTGTCACACAGATGCACTTCTCCCTCACCACAGTAGGACAGTCCTACTGTCTGTTCTGGGACTTAGCAGTCCCAGATGCTGTTCTGCTCTTGTTTTTTTTTTTTGAAAACAGAATCTTGCTATATAGCTCAGGCTAGTTTGGGAATCCTTGTATAGTCCAGGCTAGCCTGGAACTCTTGAACTTCCTGCCTCAGCCTCCTGAGTGCCCATCTCCAAGCAACTTTGACTTAGAGCTCCACCGTTGCAACACTAGGCTTGGGTAGTAGCCATGACATGTTAGAAGGCTGCCAAAAAAACCAAAGCAAACAAACAAAAAAAACCCAAAAAACATGCTAGTTTTTCTCTGCTTCATTCAGATCCATTTTACTCTAACCCATAACTCACTGCCAGAACTGCTAGCATGGCAGGGAAATTTGATGGTGGGGATACCATCCTGCCTGTGATTTGGTAGGAAGGATAGCTGTGGCACCAGGCAGGAGATAATAGGTACCCTCAGAGAGCTGTGTGGGGATGGAAGCAAAAGGGATTAGGGAGATGAACCTTGAGCTCATCGCCCACATTCCGAAAAGTTAACCAAAGTCAGGATTTAAAATAAACTCCTTCGGGCATGGAGACAGGCAGCTTGGTTGGGCGCATGCTCACCTAGCATGCACAAAGCCCTAGGTTGAGACCACAGCATAAAATTGGGCATGGTGGTGTACACCTGTAATCCTAGTACTTGGAGAAGCAGGAAGATCAGAAGTTCAGGAACATCCTCAGCTACACAGCAAGTCCAAGGCCACCCTGAGTTACAGTAACAACAAAAACCATCTTTCTCTCTTGGCTTTTTTTTTTCTATTGCCAATATTGAGTGTTTAATTACTTGCTAAATTTGTAATTTAAAAAGTCAATCATACTAGTGTAGATTATTCTCACTACTAAAAGTCAACACAGTGGAGTATTTCTGACATATTTTGAAAAAGGAGAGCATTCTGGGTCCATCCTCTCTATGTTGTCCTGTGGTCTGTTTCCAGCACCAAGAGGGCTGGGAAAGGGTGTTCATCCCTTTTCTTTTGGTAGAGCATCCTGGAGTTGCCCACCTCGTCACCTAGCCTGCTTGCCTGAAACATCTAAAGCAGCCAGGTTTGGGGAAGAGGTGGCTTGAAGGTGTGACACCATCATGAGACCCTAGCCTCCCTGCCATGCCCCTGCCAGACTCCTGTCCACAGTGATGTTTCCTGTCTCGTAGGACCTGGTGCTGGAGAAGTTGAAGAGCCAGCAGCTGACCAGTGAGCTGGACAAACTGAGCCAGGAGCTGGAGAAGGTTGGCCTCAGCAAGGAGCTGCTGCTGCAGGAAGATAACAGTCACGGTGACACGTAAGGACAGTCCCCTGTGTGCTAGCACAGTGCTCTCCTATGAGTCTGAGCTCCCGAGTCTCCATCTGAGGGCTTGATTTATTCTTCACTGCTGGAGTCACTGTGTGACTCCTTCTGTCTGTTCTCTGTAGTTCAGGTCTTGTCCCTAGAGAGTTAAGGAGGCAGGGAAGGAGATTGTTTTGTGTGATAAACGGCCATGGTGTTGGAAGCTAAAACCAGGGCTTCTTGCATGCTGGACAGGCTCTGCACTGACCTGCATCCAGGAAGAGCCCACATCTCTTTTAACTAGATGATTGCAGTTTTTCTCCTAGCTGTGCCTTCTTGAACAGCCTGGCTTTTCAAAGAAATCTAGTATGGTGCCCTTTTCTGGATTTGTAACCAACAAGACTCCCATGGCTGCATTGACATGTCTGGTACAATGGGAAGGCCGCAGACCTGCCATGTACCTGGCGTCGTGACCTTGGCCCAATAGCTGAGGTTTCCTGAGATGGAGTGATATAAAGCCATCTATAAACACCTCTTCAAGGAGTAGCTATACAATGTAGTGGTGGTGTTTTGTGTGAGAGTGTTGTGGATTTGTCAGCCAGGGAACCCTGGGAAGGGTTCTGGGTCCCTGGAACACCTAAAACCAGCTTAGTGGGAAGGGTGTGCTAGCCACAGGGAGATGGGACTAGGGCTGAAGTAGATGAAAACTATACTATTGTGTCTTTATATTTTCAGAAAATGCAAGATTTTGGAAGGCAAAAATGAATCAGCGTTGAAGACAACACTGGCCATGAAAGAAGAAAAGATAGTGTTTCTGGAGGCCCAGGTGGAAGAGAAGGAAAGCTTGAATCACCAACTACAGATTGAACTGCAGATGGTGAGGGCCAGGCTGCGGTCCTACCTACCAGGCCTCTGCCATACCCTCCCCAGGACAACCAGGGCAGTGTTCCGGGACAGATGCAGATGAGCTGTAGGGTGTCCTGCGGGTACCAACCTCAGGGTATAGGAGCTGGGCACGACAGCCAGATGCATGGTAGGAGGAGGCTGTGGCTCAGGGCAGTTCCACACTTCCAGGTAGGGTGTAGGAACACGAAACAGCCCAGAGACCAAGCAGAGCCCTGTAGGCTCATAAGGCCCCTTAGATGGGACAGGACCTTATACAAATGTGTGTGTCAGCTCTTGGGCACATACAAGCACATGTTCCCATACATCCAGATGACATGTGGAGCACACGTACACAATTGGCATGCATATAGGCATGCGTCCCTCAGTCACACTTTCCACACATCAATAGGTACTCCACGTACACACACACACACACACACACACACACACACACACACACACACATACACGCTTTTGTGTGCGTTTAGTCTCCATCTATGGGTGGACTGACGCCACATGTATGTTTTCCCTTTTTGAACACATGACACATATTCTTTGGTTACAGAGTTGATTTGGGATCTGCAGTCAGGCAGATGCAGGGCTGGCAGGGCCTCTGTGAGATGTATGACTGCCTGTGCCCGGTTTTGCCTCTGTTGTGTGGTATAGACTGGAGGCCCAGGCAAGACTCATGTAGCTAAGGTGGGGACTAAGGCAGGCGTAAGTTCACATCCCCGCCTTTGCTGTCCTGTCTGGGGAAGAAGCACATAGCAAAAGAAGAGCGTCTGGCCTGTCCCTCCTCAGGGACGGTGAGTGGGTATCTGAGACTTTGGTGAGGGGTGCCTCCCTACCCATTAGTGGGGCTCCTGCGTGGCTCCATCCTGCCTGAGTCTGCTTCCCAATGCTGTTGGCAGGTAAAGGACGAGCGGGAGCAGCTCAGGCAGACCCAGGAGGACAGAACGCAGGCACAGAACATGCTGAAGCACCCTGCGGGCAAGGTGGTCAGCAGTCACCAAGAGAAAGAGGCCTGGGAGCCCAGCCACAAAGAGGCCACCATGGAGCTACTCCGTGTGAAGGACCGGGCCATCGAGCTGGAACGCAGTGTGAGTGGGCTGCCCATGAAGTGACCGTCCGTCCTATCAGCAGCTACACCCATAGTAAAGAAGTAAAGTCACTGTAAACAATATGGGGTGGCAGAGGCCATGGAGGCTGTTGTATCCAGTAGGACACTGTCCTGGGTTGGCCTGGCTGGTCCCTTAGGTGCCTTTCGTTGTAGTTCCTTCAGAGTTTCTAGTACAAGGGACACGCCCTGTCTCCTGGGCTGACCTCCCTGCCTGCTGTGACAAACCCAGACTGTCCACCAAGCTTCGTCCCCATAGTGTCCTGTTCTCCAGAGCTCTATCCCAGCCCCACGGCCCGGGCTGTATCTAAACGAAGCTTTATTGACACGCAGTCACACCTTTCATGTTGACATGTGGTCTGGGCTGCTGTCCCACTGCAGTGGTGCCCTTCATTGTTGGGATAGAGATGTCATGGCCACCACACCTGCAAGTATTTACTGTTGGCCCTTACCAGAAAAAGCTCTCCAGTGCATGCTTGTCCCACTGATTCACAGCAGTGACGTTTTGAAGTCCACTGTGATGATTTTCAGTAGACAAGCTGAGACAGAACATTAGAGGCTGTCTCAAGGTCACAAGCCTGCAGCCCATGTCCTGGCTCCTAGCCTAGTTAGTGGCATAATAGATATGATCTCTGTTAGTCTATTCTTTTTTTAAATGGTTTATTTTTACGTGCATTGGTGTTGTGCTTGTATGTGTGTCTATGTGAGGGTGTCAGGTCCCCTGGAACTGGAGTTACAGACAGTTGTGAGCTGCCATGTGGGTTCTGGGAATTGAACCCGGGTCCTCTGGAAGAGCAGCCAGTGCTCTTAACCCCTGAACCACCTCTCCAGCCCTAGTCTCCCACTCTGAAGTACCCTGTTCCACTTGTTGTCTCAAACATAGGGACAGCTATTGCTGAGGACTTGAGCTCTGTGGTCAGTGGTGAATGACTTCAGCTCACAGGAAAGTATTCTTCAGATGATCCATACCAAAGGAAACAAATGGAATCAGGAAAGTGGCTTGCATGCCCATATGCCTCAGGTCCTGGGCCACAGCCCCTGTAATGCATTATCCTTCTTTTTGAAAATTCTATTAGTTGTCTGTTTCCAAGAAGGGAACCATTAACATTCTGTGCTTGAGGAAACCCCATTCCCCCAGCTCTGGGCTGCATCTCCCCTTGAGGGTTCAATTAAACCCCAGGGCCTCTGTGCAAGAGAGAGCTAGCCATGCTGTGCGTAACTGGTACGTGCTTCTCTAGAACGCAGCTCTTCAGGCCGAGAAGCACCTGCTGAAGGAGCAGCTACAGCACCTGGAGACTCAGAATTTGGCCTTCAGCAGCCAGATCCTGACCCTACAGAAGCAGAGCGCCTTCCTGCAGGAGCACACCACCGCACTGCAGACCCAGACTGCAAAGCTGCAGGTAGCGGGACCGACCCTCAGGGGGAGCTGCAAGGCTAAGCAGGGGCCACCTGGGGGCTGGGTGGTTGTTAAGAAGCTTGCTATAGACAGGAGTCTTTGGAGGGAGGTAGTAGGGTGGCTCATGAGACATTTCCTACAGCTGGGCCTAAAGGTGCCGGGCTGAAACTTCATTTCTTTGCTTTTCAGTTTATACAAATGGCCACCACACACACAAAACACACACACACACACACACACACACACACACACACACACACACACACACACACACACACCCAAACGAGAGAGAGATTTGGAAGTAAGTAAGCTTGGTTAAACAGCTTCTGTACCGTGCAGCCTGGCAGAGCTGTATTAAGCTGACAGGGGAAGTGGGGCTGTGACCTGGCTTCATCTGCTGGAAGCAGCCAGCCTCTCAGCCCACTTACCACGTAGTTTTATTTGTGGTTAGTAGGTGATGGGAAAATGAAAAATTGCTCATTAATGTCATTTCTGGGAAAAGTTGGAAAGTTACGTATGGAACAGAGACAGTAAACAGGAAACGTATTTGGCAAAGAGGTCGGGTTTGTTTTTGTTAAAATAAGAAAATAGGATGTTGATTTGTTACTTTGTTTTGTCTTGGAAAAAGTCTTTGTCTGGCTTTAATGTCAGAGTAGTTCTGGCCCCTGTTCAATTTTCTAATATTTTGGGATTATGTTAGAATACTCTAAAACATCAGGGGTTTAGATACGGCCCACTGGTAAAAATGCTTAGCTTGCACAAAGTCCTCAGTGCGGCCCTAGCAGAACAAAAATAAATACGTAAAAATCAATCATTAGACAGACAGTATTGTCAGATCCTCTAGCCTTACAGATTTTCTGTTGGCTGGTCTAGAAAATAGGCTTTAAAAAAAGAATCAGTAATGACATGTAAGGGATTTATCTAGGAGGAATTCTAGAGATGGTTCATAGCCATCTTTTCATAGCCGGTTTTTGCCATATTGTGTGTCCCGTCCCCCCGCCACCTACTTCCAGCACCAAGTCCTCAAGTTCTGGTAGCATTGCCCATGCCTGGCCTGCCTTGAGGTCCCTCTGGTGCTGTCTGTGGCTGGTAGTCCTTGGCCTGCTTGCCACACACAAGGCTCTGCTCTCCCTGCAGGTGGAGAATTCCACACTGAGCTCCCAGAATGCAGCACTTGGTGCGCAGTACACAATGCTACAGAGCCAGCAGACGGCCAAGGAGGCTGAACATGAAAGTCTGCAGCAGCAGCAGGAGCAACTGGCAGCTGCTTATGAGGCCCTGCTTCAGGACCATGAGCACCTGGGTGCCCTGTACGAGCGCCAGTCCTCAGAGTATGAGGCCCTCATCCGACAGCACAGCTGTCTGAAGACGCTGCACCGGAACCTGGAGTTGGAGCATAAGGAGCTTGGGGAGAGGTGGGGCCTGGAGGGCAGGGGTAGAGCCTGTGGGGCAGAGGAGGGCAGGGGTAGAGCCTGTGGGGCAGAGGAGGGCAGGGGTAGAGCCTGTGGGGCAGAGGAGGGCAGGGGTAGAGCCTGTGGGGCAGGGGAGGGCAGGGGTAGAGCCTGTGGGGCAGAGGAGGGCAGGGGTAGAGCCTGTGGGGCAGGGGAGGCAGGGGCCTGGGGACAGGGAAGCTGGGTATATAGACAGGAGACCTGAGAAAAGCTTGGGGGTAGGGATGCAGCCTATGGAGGAGGCAGCTGGTATGCTGAGCCCCTTAGGCTGCCCCAGAGCTTCTGGGACTTTCCTGAGGCCTGCATGCACCTCCGTCTCTCCCCCGCATTTCCTCTTGGCGGGCTGCTTCTCATTGTTGCTGCACCTGAGCTTTCCCAAAGGGAAGGAAATGGAACCGTTAGCGATTTCTGTTTCCTTTTTGTTTGTCCAGCTGGGGATTGTGGCAGGGGACACAGGGGCAAAGGGGTGCCGTGGCTCACCCTGGCTCTGGGTGACCTAGTGTGCACACTTGGAGACCTGTTCTCCAAGAATTCTTTCTTCTTCCTCACCCCCTTTTTCTCCTCTCCTGACCCACACCCCTGGGAAAATACTTCCGGCTACCTGTGTGCAGGGTTGTGCACACTGCCTCTTCCAAGTCTAAGTCTAGAGTGTTTGCTTCAAAACCCAAATCCTCCCATTATGTTAAATATTGAATGCATACAACAAAGGAACCCCACACCTGTGATCTTGGCACAGTTGGGAGGTAGAAGGGCGGGGTGAGGGAGCGGGAGACTGCTCTCAGTCCCCGGTGCCCTCCCGCAGTTACCCATACTGCCCTTCTCCTTCAGTCTGTACCTGCCGCTTTTTCTTTTCTTCAGGTAAAATTTTCATATGTTGAAATACATAAATGTTCACTTTTCACACTTGGCAGTCCCAGGTCCCGGGGGGGGGGGGTGTCATTAAAGTCACCCACTGTTGGCTGAGCTCCCGCCCCTGCACCGAGAGTTCCAGAACTCTGGCTGGAGTTCTGTCTCCAGAGCCTGAGAATCGGTGAGATATGCATCAGAAGGAAGCTTGTCCAAAGAAGGAACCCACAGGAACGGGACAGGAGAGTGCCAGCATCCCCTTCCTGTGCTAGCGAAGTGCCCCCACTGGCAGCATCTCTGTCCAGTCCACCTCAGCAGAACAGCTGGGCACCTGATACATTAGTTATGTCTGGTGGGAGTGGCTGACGTGCAGGAAATTTCCGATGCAGGGACCTACGAATGTTACTGAGCCAGAAAAGCCATGTATGGGTGCCGATGGCACTTGTGGGTAGAATAGTGAGGACAACAGATTTTCCTACCCAGTATGGCCTTTTTGCCTTCATCTAGAGTCTCCCATCTCTGTCCTTCAGGGCTGCCAAGATGTTGACTTTTGTGTGACTTTTTCTTCTCATCAGATGGTACAGCTTCTGCCTCTGGGTCCTTTATCCCCTGGCATTGCCCCTCCAGCCCTTTCTACATGCAGCACTTACTAGACCTATACTCCATATGTCTAACCATGAAAGGTGCTATGCCACTGACAGACTAACACAGTGGAACACACAGCATTGACACTAATGTGAGCGTGACCCCTGCTCACAAGCCTTTACACAAGCATCATAAAACATTGTAATTTTTTTTTTAAAAACAAGACAGGGTTTCTCTGTGTAGTTTTGGAGCCTGTCCTGGATCTCGCTCTATACACCAGGCTGTCCTCAAACTCAGAGATCCACCTGCCTCTGCCTCCTGAGTGCTAGGATTAAAGGTGTGCACCACCACCGCCTGGCACATTGTACTCTTAGAGTCTTTTTTCTTTCTTTTTTTTTTTTTTAAGATCTTTGTGTGTTTTGTTTTTTCAAGACAGTTTTTCTGTGTAACCCTGGCTGTCCTGGAGCTCACTCTGTAGACTAGGCTGGCCTTGAACTCAGAGATCCACCTGCCTCTGCCTCCTGAGTGCTGGGATTAAAGGTGTGCTCCACCAGAGGTTTATTTATGTGTTTTATGTGTATGGTGGTTTTGTCTGCATGTGCATCTGCACCACCAGAAGAGGGCGTTGTATCCCAAGGACTACAGTTATAGACAGTTGTGAGCCACCATGGATGTGCTGGGAATTGAACTCGGGACCTCTGGAAGAAGAGCCAGTGCTCTCAACCACTGAGCCATCTCTCCCCTCTTTTTAGAGTCTAATGTCCATTCAGAGGAGGAAGGTTTTTGTAGATAGAGTTGTGACTGACTCTGAAGGTCAAGGCCCTGGCTTGGTCTAGCATCTGTCAGCCACTTAGCATCTCTGGCTCGTTGGCCACACAGCTGGAGGCACAGTCTTCAGTCTGTGCACTAGGGCTTTGAGTGCCTGTCACACAGGAGTGACAGAGGTCTGCATTCTTTTCCTTTGATACTTAATTGGACTCCTGCCAGATAGTTACTCTGTCATGTCAAGGGCTCACTGGTAAGCAAGACTCCAAAGGCTTGCGGGCTGTCAGCTGATCTGTACACTTGGCTGAAGTGATGCAGGGGAGCAGGAATTGGAAGGCCTTGCTGGTCAGTTTGCGGTCTTTGTCAAACTTGGGTAATTTTTCCACAGTCACTAACTTGGCTCTGGAAGCCAGACAGATCCCCTCATCCTAACTCTGTGCCCTACCGTGTAGGGCCTCTGTACTTTGGAGAATGGCCTTGAGTTTCCTAATGGGATCCCTTACAGGGGTATGCAGTGAGATGGCCCATGCTCAGCTGATGTGGGGGTAGGAGTTAGAGGGGAGACTGGAGACCCCAGCAGTAGGGCAGCAGCAGTGTTACATACTCAGAAGAGAAGGGGGCTCCCAGGTTTCCTGAGCCCGGTGGTTGAGAAACGTGCCCCAGACCACTCCTCTCACTGACTCGGAGATCCTGGGTCATCAGCAGAGAGGGGTACAAGTCAAGTCATTTCCACCTTGTGCTCTGCTGCCCCCCAGCGACAGCTGCGCAGCCTACAAGGATTAAGAAAATTCAAGGAGAGAGAGAGAGAGAGAGAGAGAGAGAGAGAGAGAGAGAGAGAGAGAGAGAGATCTTAACCCCCCCCAATGCCAGTGGGAACAGGGATGTGGGCTTTCATAGAGTGAGGAGGGTGTGAGCAGGGATTAGTTGTTTCATACGGTGGAATTTAGCTGTTTATTTTGTGGTTTCCTTTAGATCTACTGGTTCTTAGTGGACCACTTTGTAACATGAGTCTCTAAAATAAAAGGGTGTAGAGTGTGGCCCTTATGCTGTCAGGTGACCTACAGAAGGGGCTGGCTATGACAGGGAAGCCAAGGGAGCAGAGAATGGAAGAGGACTGTGGCCCTGGGAGGTGCTGACTGACCCCCCCCTCCCCCCCCCTCCCCCCCCCCCCCCCGGCGCATTCATCTTGCTTCCCTGCTGTCCAGCCTCTCACCCCTCCTCAGAGAACAGGTCTCAGAGGAACCCCCCTTTTCTGAGAGGGCTTGTTCCAGTCTCCTGGGGTGTGAGTTGCTTGTGGGAGATGGAGCCTGGATGCGCTTCCAGTGGCTGTTTTCTCCACCAGGCACGGTGACTTACAGAAGCGGAAAGCCGAGCTGGAGGAGCTGGAGAAGGTGCTGAGCACCGAGCGGGAGGCGCTGCAGCGGGAACAGAGGACCAGCGCCGTGGCCTCGAGTGAGAACCAGAGGCTGCGAGGAGAGCTGGACAGGTGAGCACCCAGGCACACCCACCCGGGGCCAGGGAGGAGTGGCAGGGACCCAGGAATCTAATCTGTTCAGAGCAGTCCTCACTGAAAACTGCCTGTGAACTCCTTGTCAGGAGCTGCATGCCGCTGCCCAGGTAAGGAGCTGACGGCCGGCCGTGCTAGGGAGGCATGGCTGGTGGTACTCAGCCGGTACAGGGAGAGGTGGATCATGTATCTGTACAGGCGTAGTCATCTTCAGATGTAAGCCCAGCCCTCGGGAGCCACTGTGGTCCTCCTTATTCAACAGATTCACTTGCTCACTGGTGCTTATTTATAATCAGAATCTCACTCCTATTCGTGGGTCTTTTGTGGATATGCACGGAATTCACAGAATATTTGAGTCATCGGGCTCACTTAGCTACCTTGTTTCGTCTCTCCTACTGCGGACCGAAGTCCTTCCAGGACCTGTTTGTGCCATGTCTTTAGTGTTGAGTGGTGTGAGTCCTTGTCTTGCTGGGTTAAACAGCCCTAGGCATAGTGCCCAAGTGCAGCTGATGTCCCTGAGTGCAGAGTGGCAGCCATGTGCCTAGCAGAGAAAACACCTGTGTTGATAAGCTTCGCCTGCTGAGAGTCGCAGGCTTGTACTTTGTTTTCGGGCCTGACTGTTGGGCATTGGACAGCTAGATGGTGCGCTCTTTTCCTGGGGAAGGCCACCTCCTGTTCCCAGCTTTCCTCAGTTGCCTGTAGTTCTTTGGGTAGGGCTGACATCCCGTGGGCTTTTCCCTGTGCTGTTTGGCATATTGATCAGTGTCCTTGTTTAGTTCATGGTTGAGCAGTCATGTGGGTGAGACTTTATGGGTGTAGCTTCTGCTGTTACTAGGAGACAATCTCACAGTAAAGTCCCTGATTTCCCTGGTTCTTCTGCAATGTTCCCTGAGCCTGAGATGTAGGAATGTTCTGTAGATGTATCCGTTGGGACCGGGCTCCATGTCTCTGCCTATCGATTGGTTGTAGGTTTCTGTAGTAGTTTCTGTTGCAGACAGAAGTTTCCTTGATGAGGGGTGAACCTACACTTACCTGTGGGTATAAGGACAGCTGTTTTTAGATTGTTATTAGGGATGATGCTGGTTTAGTAAATTATTGGTTGTAGATTCTCCTCCGATAGCCATGATTCCTAGTTAGGTAACTAGGTTTCCAGTACCAGGCGTGCTCTCCCTCTTGTTGGGTGAGTCTTAAGTCCAGTTAGAGAGTTGTTGGTTACTGCCAATTAGGCACCACTACTGCGCCTGTAGGGCTATTGTGACATGCTGGTGGTTCATATGGTTCTTAGGCATCGTGGCTGAATGGGACTGCTGGTTTCCTCTCTCCTTTGGAAGCTTGTGGGCACGGTGTTTTAGAGAAAGAATATTCTCTAAAATTTTTTTTTAAAGCACAGCTCTTTTTTCCACTTATACCAGAATGCCTAAACACTAATGTAGGAGGCTACTGGCCGTGATGTCCTGTTGAGGCCAGTATCTTAGCCTGCGTGCCTGTTGTCCCCCTCACCCCCCACCCAGACAGTATGGCTTCAGGGATGCCCTCCTAGAGCCCCAGAGAACACAGTCTGAAAAGCAGCAACTTTTCTCAGAATTTCTGACGTCATACACAGGAGGTTGACAGCTTGCATAGTCTGCTACTGTCAGAACAGGTACCGAACCCACAGCTGCAGGCCTTTCTACCTTTGGAATGCTTTTTAGCCCCCTTGCCTGTGGCTCCCCTCCCCCTAGGGTCAGTTTCCTGCACCACCAGCTGAAAGGGGAGTATGAAGAGCTGCATGCCCACACCAAGGAGCTGAAAACATCACTGAACAACTCCCAGCTGGAGCTGAACCGCTGGCAGGCACGCTTCGACGAGCTTAAGGAACAGCACCAGAGCATGGACATCTCACTGACCAAGCTGGACAACCACTGTGAGGTGAGGTGTGCCTTCGAGCAGGTCTGTGAGGAGCTAGCCCCCCTCCTGGGTGGATTCTCTGAGACTGGAGGTGTCCTTGGAGCCACGGTGAGACCAGAGTGCCACCTGTGGTAGGAACATCTCAGAGGCCACTTTGTCTGACATTTGCTCCCTGAAGTCAACAGTGGCGTCTGTCTGTCCTTCAGGACGTGGTGGCACCCTCATCGTCTGTACCTCTTCTTTTCAGTAGACAGCTACACGAGCAAAATGGCCTGGGATTGAGTGTGGCTGCCTGGCTCAGGTCCTGGGGCTGGGTGAACAGCTGCTGGTGGCCCAGAGCTGGGTCAGAAATGGCCATTGTGGGAAGCCTAGCCCTCCTTTAGGTAGAATCTCAGATAGACCCCACTATACAGGATATGCACTCAGCCACTTCCTTGGACCTCAAGGAGTGGTACTGCAAAGGAAACGGCCTAACCTCCTTTGCCCTTCCAGATCTGCTCGTCACCTACACATAAGTTGTGTAAAATAATTGAAAAGGAAAAGGTAGATTTCGATCCTTCAATTAATGGTGAAGTTAGCTTTGTGGGGTAGAGAGGAGTGAGGGAGGAGCATGTTTCCCTCCTGTGGCATGCTGGGAGTTTCACTATGGCTTACCTGTTAGCTTATTTCATCCTCAGTGAGGTACATGATGGATAGGAGCCCAGTCTCTGCCTCCCACACCTCTGGGCCTCCCCACTACACCACAGTACTGTTCTGAAACAAAAGTCTGTGAGCTTCAGCCCTCAAGCCAGATCCTCCCTGCCACCTGCATTCACACAGCCCACGAACTAAAAATAGCTCTTGATGTTTTTAATGGTTGAAGCTAAAACTCAGACAAACAGATATTTATTTTGTGGCTAGGGAAAAAATGAAATGAAATTGTTGTCAGTGTGGGTGAGAGTGAAGTTTTGTTGGGGACACAGCCACTCTTAGGTTATCTATGACTGCTTTTGTGCTACACAGGGCACAAGACACCAGATGGCTTGGAAGGCCCTCGGTCTCCAGTCTCTGGCTTTGGGCAGAAGCAGCTCTCTTTCACAGCAGAGCTTCCGGTTGAAATCCGTGGAAGCTCCAAGTGCAGCTTAGCACTTGGTAGTAGCCACCTTCAAAACAGTTCTTTTTTTTCAATGAGATTAATACATTTTTCTTTGTTTTTTTAGTGCTGGTAATGGCAGGCAACCTTCTGAGACACATCCCTGGCCCCAGTGAAATTAATTGTCGTAACATATTTAACCAGTAGATAAAAATATTTCATATGTAATCTTGTGTTCTGTTGTGTATCTTGCTTCACACCTCCACCAGAATGACTGGTCTGTGCTCTCGACAGCCACAAGCTGCCAGCTGGCTGCTGGGTCGTGTGGTGTGTGCATAGGAAATGCAACCTTCCTGGCTGGTTGACCCTTCCTAGGTCCTCACTAGTGCAGACAGTACCAAGATGGACGCCCTGTGCAAGTGTTCCTTTCCCTTGAGAGGCCGGGTTTCCAGCATAGCATCAGGGGTCACAGGGTATCTGAGCCGTTGCTGGTCTGTGTTTCAGCTGCTCTCCCGTCTCAAGGGGAACTTAGAGGAGGAGAATCATCACCTGCTGAGCCAGATCCAGCTGCTGAGCCAGCAGAACCAGATGCTGCTGGAGCAGAATATAGAGAACAAGGAGCAGTACCACGAGGAGCAGAAGCAGTACATGTGAGTGGGCCGTGGTGGGCGGCATGTCCATAAGGGGCCTCTGGACCACTGTCCCCAGCCCCTCACAGTGTGCAGGCCTCACTCCGGCCCCTGATATCCTGTCTTCTCCTCCACCATACACCTGTTGCTTTCAAGACAGAGAACAGCCCCTAGCCATTAGGGTTTGGAGGATTAGAGATGGAACTATACCATTTTATGGAATATTCTAGATTTCTGAGAGGTAGAGATTAGCTTGCATGTGTGTGAGGTTTCCTGCTCCCATGCGCCCTCTGTGTGCATGCATATGTGTGGGGAGGGGGTACAAGTGTGTGTGTGTGTGTGTGTGTGTGTGTGTGTAGGCCAGAGGTCAACCTGGAGTGTCATTTGAGACAAGGTCTTTTATTGGTCTGTACCTTCCTGATTAGGCTAGGCTGACTGGCCAGTGAATCCCCACGTCCTCCTGTCTCTTCCCCACTGGGATTACAAGGGCACTCCACTATGCCTGGCTTTTTATGTGGCTTCTGAGGATTGAACTCAGGTCCCCTCATGCTTCCATGGCAGTTATTTTACCAGCTGAGTTATCTCCTCTGCCCTCATTGGCTTTTTCTGAAGTATTATCCACCGTCGGAAAGGTCTCTCTCTACTTCTAGACTGGAGTTCGTTTGTAGACATAGGCAGCCAGCACCAGCTGTAGCTCAGGGAACAGGTTCAAATTGAGAGCTGAGAATCAGTTTCTCCCTCACCTGACTGTAGCAAGTAGGCTTGTTCTGTGCCTTGCCTAACCTCTCCTCCTCAAGCCTTATGTAGACCCTGGGAGCCTAGAACCATGGGGTGACAGGGGCTGTGCCCCCTCCCACTGGGATTAGAGGCCCCAAAGGACAAGTAGAGGGAGTCGTTTTGCTGCTGAGATGAGAGGAGGCCAGGTTGGATAGGGAGAGTTGGGTGTGGCAGGTGACCTAGGTGCTGGGAATGTAGGCAAGAGGGCTGCCTATCTAAATTAGACACTGCATCTCCTGGGACATGTTTGGAGGGATGTGTGTCTCGGCCTGGGCACATGACAGAGGTAGTGAATGTGAGGGAGAACGCTGATGCTGGAAACCCACAGTTGGATAATCCGAGGTGTATCGTGCTAGACTAAGCCTGTCCCTCCTCATGACCAGCGTCTCGGGCAAGCCCTGTGCTCCTGGCCCAAGTATGCCTAAGACAAGAAGAGCCAGCCATGGTGGTGTGTGGCTTCAATCCCAGCACTCAGGAGGCAGAGGCAGGTGGATTTCTGGTAATTTGAAACCAGCCTGGTCTACATAGCATATTCATAGAGAGAACGTGTCTTAAAACAAAAAGGCAGGAAATGGCATGTTTATGGAGGGGTGTGGTCCCTGAACCCCCAGTGCTTTCCCAGCTCTCTCTGATGTAACTCTGTGCCTCCTCTTTGCCTTATGCATCTGCTGGCCACCTACTTCGGGATGACTCACGTGGAAGCCCACACTGTAATTTGGGATCTAAGTGGCAGTTGCTTGAAGCTGACCCTCTGTAATCCATGTGGTAGAATCTCCAGCCGAGGTTGGGCAGATGCTAACGAAACAGCGTAGAAGCCTGGTCCTCGGGAGGTGATTGGTGATATCTTTTGCATTAGAGAGTGTCTGTGTCAGGCCAGCGGCTTGGCACACCTCTCAGCTTGTTCCAAGCAGCGTACACCCCATTGGTGCCTTTTCCCAGAGTGCAGCCTTCCCAGTGGGCTCTCGGGAAAGTTTTCAGCATGGACAGGATCTTCTCTGCTTCAACAGTGAAGTAACCTGAACAAGTCACTGCCTAGGGCCCCACCTTCCCATGAGTTCAGCAAGCATGGCAGACACCCCAGGAAACAGGCCCTGGGGCTGCCCGTCGCTACTGTGATGTTGAAAGTGTGAGCTGGTTTCCACCATTTAGAAGCAGAGATTTGCTTCAGGGCCTGAGCGCTGGCTTTTCACACGGTCACCATACCCAGCTGCTTTCTTCCTGCCTGGCTGCTCTGCTCGGGCTGGCTGCCCAGGGCGTGCTCAGGCTTGCCACAGGTCCCACTCTGTGGCCTTCTAACTTCTCTGCTTGTCCTCTGAAAGCAGTTTACCTCACAAGCTGTTACCAGGCCCCAGGGTGCCTCTGCTGCCTCAGTGTTCAAGTGTTAGTGTGCCTGGTGGTCTGGCTGCATTAGAGAGTGTCTGCCTCAGGCCGGTGGTGCCCGGTGCCCTACACAGTTTGGCCAAGCGTGAGTTCTCAGGTGGTCAGAGGTTTGCTCTCGTAAGCCCGCTTAGCTGGGTCCCAGGGGTTCAAAAAGCACGAATAGCTGGGATTTTGCTTTGATTTGTTTGAGATGAGCTCTCACTTTGTAGCTTTGACTAGACTGGAACTCACTGTGTAGACCAGGCTGGCCTCGAACTCAGAGAGATCCACCTGCCTCTGTCTCCTGAGTGCTGGGATTAAAGGAGTGAGCCAACAAGGCCAGCTAGATTCATAACTGGTACTGCTGATCATAAATTCCCATTCAGTGACCAGTGTGGGGTTGAACACCTTCAGGTCTGAATCCAGACACTGATTTCTGATCTAGATTGGACTGCTAAGTACACTCACTTGTTTATTTAAACTGGATTCATCGATTTCCCTCTGTTCACAGAGACAAATTAAATGCTTTACGGAGACACAAGGAAAAACTGGAAGAAAAAATCATGGATCAGTACAAGTTCTATGACCCTGCTCCAAAGAAGTGAGTGGATCTAAGATTAGTGACACACAGTGATCATAGCCATCTTAGCTGAGAGACAAGGCAGCCTGGGAGCCATAGTACACGACCAGCCCTGCACCCCCACTTACAGGTGGCCCTAATGCAGTGGTTCTCAACCTTCCTAATGCTGCGACCCTTTAATACAGTTCCTCACGTTGTGATGACCCCCAACCATAAAATTATTTTGTTGCTACTTCATAACTATAATCTTGCTACTGTTATGAATTATAAGTATCCGATACGCAATCCAAAGGGGTCACAGCCCACAGGTTGAGAACCACTGCCCTATGGCAAAGCAGAGCTCTCAGCCCCACCCTTTATACCCCAGGTTGTCCTGTGAGGGTGGCAAATGCCAGCCAGCCCTGATGAGACACCAGGGTGACTCACCCATGAGCCCTGATAAGAGGCAGAAAGTTGTGAGTCGGAGTCATTAAAGCTAAATATGGGCATGGTTGGCTTGTCAGAGTTTTAACATGATGTGGACAGCACAGCCATGGTCCTCTGAGGGAAAGGGAGCCTGAGCAGAATGCCTGCTGGGCTCCACAGTTATCAAATGCTGTACACATTGGCCTTGTATTTCTAACGACTGTTTAACCCAGACACCCGTACCCCTGGTGCGCTGGCTGAATGTCAGTCAGTGACCATGTCAGTGGTTACCTTTAGCAGGTAATATGCCTGAAAATGACTTTCACGGGGGAAATAAAAACCAGCTAGTTCGCACAGCCCCATTCTTGCACAAACAGCACATTTTAAGTGTTTTTCTTCTAAGAGACTGGCATGGGTTTCTGATCTCACATACCCTTCTGCTCCGGCATAGCCTGTACCCAACAGTTAGGCTTCTCAGTTCCAAGACTCAGGGGTGTAAATAAGATCATGACGATGTTCATAAACACCAGCCTCTTTTCTTGAGGTTACTAGGATCGAGCTCAGGTCCTTGCGAATGCTAGGCTAGAGCCCTGCCACAGAGCCACACCTCTAGCCCAGTGCCATTGTTTGGCTCTGTGAGCATGGGTTGTGACTTCTAAACATCTTCTAACTAGGAAGAACCACTGGATCGGAGCCAAAGCCCTAGTCAAACTTATCAAGCCAAAGAAAGAAGGCTCCAGAGAACGGTTGAAATCCACCACCGATAGCCCCCCCTGGCAGCTGGAGCCCTCAGACCCCGCCTCACCATCTGCCTCCCAGAATCTCAGATCACAGACGGAGAACTCCGACAACCCCACATCTGGTTTGAACTGTGCAGAAGAACGGGACACCCACAACGGGCCTGTGGGGAAAGGTAGGTGCAGTTGCCAGATGTGGCAAAGTAAGGATAGAGGCTCCGAAAGATCCATTCACTGATGGGGTGTGCCATGCCTCCATGGGAACGTGGCGGTATATGTGTCCCCTACCTGGGCACGGCACCACGCCAGTTTCTGCTATGGCTGTGTTGTTATTTTAGAATAGGAAGCACCGTTTATTACATGGGCTGCGTGGTTATTTGAACATCCGAAGTTGATGCTTGGGCAGGCACCCTAGGGAGGCACAGCAGTGGATGTGTTTGGGGTTCCCTCCAGTGTGTCAAAGGTTGTGGTTAGCTCTTTTCTGTACACGTGTATTTACCACACCTTCCATGTGCCCAGGTTCAGAAAGTCCCGAGTGGCTGTTTGTTGTCTTTCATCGTTTGAAAAGCACCTTGGTTTATTCCCCACACAGATCTAACCTTGGGTCCTGTAGTCTTGGGACACTGGGTTGGCGTTTGGAATTGGCCAGGGGCTCTGAAGGACGACAGGAGCTGGTCATCCGTGTTGTAGTTCGTTGGCATCTCAGGCCAGATGAACTGCACATGACTGTGTCGTGGGCGGGAAGTGACCGGCAGCCTTTGGTCTTCATAGCGCTTCAGCACTGAGCCATTTTACCAGACTCCCATGCAGTCAGAATCTCATCTAGAAGATGGAGTGTTGGGGCTGGAGGGACCCCCAGCAGTGAAGAGCACTGGCTGCTCTTGCAGAGGACGTGGGTGTGATTCCCAGTACCCGCATGGCGGCTTACAACTGTCTAACTCCAGCTCCAGAAATCAGTTTCTCCATGTAGCCCTGCCTGTCCTGAGACTCACTCTGTAGACCAGGCTGCCTTTGAACTCAGAGATCCACCTGCCTCTGCCTCCCAAGCGGGATTAAAGGTGTGCGCCACCGCATCCAGCTCTTTTCCTTTTTATTTTATTTATTTTTTTTATTTTTTTGGTTTTTCGAGACAGGGTTTCTCTGTGTAGCTTTGCGCCTCTCTTGGAACTCACTTGGTAGCCCAGGCTGGCCTCGAACTCACAGAGATCCGCCTGGCTCTGCCTCCCGAGTGCTGGGATTAACCTTTTTATTTTTTTTAAACAAGATAGATTGTTGTGCACACATACAAAAGGAAGAGGTTGGCAAGGCAGGTTGGCATGATACAGACATTATCACAGTCACTGCCAGATCTGTAGTGACTGAACACTTTCAGAGCTCGGTCCAAATTTCAGATGTTATGGTATCCAAAATGACCACCATAGAGTCTGAAATACTAGTTACCTTAAATATTTCAAGACGGTCAAGTTTACTTTTCACTATCTTTTTTTTTGGGGGGGGGGGTGGGGGGAAGCGTGTATTTATACCAGACCTTCACTCTGAGTAACTTAAATTTTATCAAAGACACTGGAACTTTCTGAACTCATGTCAGGGAACCCAGGGCTCTCAGGGGCTAACGGAACACCGAGAAGGAGGAACAGGTGCCCTCTGTGGGTTGCGTCACATTCGCCACTCCAAGTACCCAGGTCGTCTTCAGCTGTGAGGAGTATACATGCTCCTGTCAGCTGCATCTCCGTTCTCTATGAGGATGGGAGTAGGTAAAGGTGAGCCAGTGCCGAGGCAACAGTGAACAGGGCTCATGATGCAGCTCAGTCTTGTCTAAACTCATTCTATAACCCAAACAGGCCGTGAACTCATGGCAGTCCTCCTGCCTCAGCCTCCTGAGGCCTGGGACTACAGGGGAGAGCCACCACACCCCAGCTCTTAACTAGCTCTAAACATTAGCTTAACATTTCTTATAGCCAGAGAGGGTCTTGTGGCTCCCAGTTTCCATACTGGCAATTTTTGAATATTTCCCATTTCAGCCTATATTGCTGTTCAAGTTGAATGAATGAATTAGTTGTGCTGTTTAGTTGAGTTAAGACTTTCAGAAGCCCTGGCATGGTGGCACACTCCTTGAGTCCTAACACTTGAGGGGCAAAGGCAAGTGGTCTCGGAGTTTGAGGCCAGCCTAGTCTAGAAATCGAGTTCCAGGACAGCCAGGACTACACAGAGAGACCCTGTCTCAGAAAGGCAAACAAGGAAGAAAACTTGCAGAGAAAGAGCGTCTACCTGGTCCACACTGCCGCTGGGAGCTGAGTACCCTTTGAACCGCTTTGGGTGTTCTCTGTCTCATCCAGTCCCTAACAACCCGTGAGGTGGACGTCATTCCTGTCCACGTTTATGTTATTTGCTAGAAGATGGTCTCATGAAGGTAACACTGAGGAGTAAAACCGATATAGTAATAGAGATCCAAGCCTGGTGTCTCAGCCTCTGGCTCCTGAGCTGGCGCTGCGCGCAGTAGCTGTGGAGTTCTGTTCGGTGCCTCCCTCCCTCCGCTGTGGTCACCAACCTAGGACCCTTACACCATGGTGTGGGATTTGGCCACTAGGTGGTGCTGTGGCAAAGGAAATAGTAGAGATTCGAGTCTGGGCTTTAATCCTAAAGCCGAAGTCTGTCGGGTCAGTTAATACCCCTGAAAGGTATGTTCAGGAGCTTAGACTAGTTGTCTGCTTTGTGGTGCCTCCACTTTAAAGGCCAAGGAGTGGAGGACGTGGGGGGAGGGGTGGTCTGAAAGGAAATAATCTCCCCAGGTCTTGGGGGGTTGGGGTAATGAGAAAGACATTTGCGTGTTTCTAAACTCATGTTGCCAAGGGAGGTGATTCTAGAATTACAGCCTACGGTGAGTGCTTCAGGTAGACTGTGCTCTGACAGTGGGCCAGCATGTCATTAGGTGTGTCCAATGAGTTGTCAGGGAGCCTGTCATTAAAAGGAATGAGTAAGAGAAGCTGGCTTCCATGTTAATAAGCATTCTTATTTAATAATTTAACACACTGAAACTGAAAAATCATCTAAACTGGCGGGCGGGCGGCTCCTGGGGCAGCGTATAGTTCTCCTGATGCGCTTCATGAGTAATGGTTGGCACCGGGGTGCCACTAAATTAAATTGAATCAGAGCGTGAATGGTTCTGGCCTGGGTATTGGGTATTGATTGGTTGGACAGGACTCTGCTTTCCTCAGTACCTTTTGCTAGCCTGGACTCATTTGTGATTATTGTTCATTTCACTTGTTTTTTTGTTTTTCTTCTGGGTTATCACAATGATAACCATGTAGCATCCCAGCGCAAAAAGAGTCCCTTTTTGAGAAGCAAAAGCAAGGATAAAGACAAGTCTCCGTCGGCCCACCCAGCTCTCTCTAAACGCCTGCGATTCTGGTCTTCTTCTGACATCCCATCCTCTCCCAGCGAGTCTGTCTGTCTCTCAGACATTGGGGATTTCTGACCCCCTCCTTTACCATTGTCTGCATCATGTGTCCCTCCTTCATTTCTAAAATTCAAACTACCAACCAAAGGAAGTCAGTCCCTAAAGGCCACGCAGCCCCTAGTGGACCCCAGTTCCTCACCCCAGTCACAAAGTAGCCATCATGGATCCTGATCGCAAAATAGAAGATGAGTTGCCATGCTCCCTGGACCATTCTTCAGCACAGCACAGCACAGTGTAGGGGACCCTCGGGATGTACGTGCGCTTACTTACCCCTGGGCCAGGAGACCCGTGCTAAGTAAGTGAAGAGGCCTCGTGTTCCTCCCCCTCCCTGCATCTGCAAGCTTCTGTCGTGCCCGCCTGCAAAGCGGGAGTGGCCAGTTGTCCTTACGCTTCCTAAAATACCCACCGGCGAACGGGCAGCCTTCCTAAAGATTTATTTCTAAGCAGCTCAACTTTGTCCCCCGCTCTTTGTCAGAACACAGAGCTACTGGCTTCTGCTCCTGAGCCCCTAGTCTGTGTTTTGAAGGATTACCTGCTCTGTTTGAGCATTTTGAATAATTGAACTGATTCTGCCCAGCCAGAGGCGAGTTTTATGACTGTGTTGTGGTTCTTTGACATCGTGGATGGTGAAATCAAAACCATAGTGGACAGAACATATATCAGGACATAAGTCACACCCAGAGCAGGGGGAGATGCTGACCAGAGAGGTCACCACTACTGTCATGGTTCCATCTCACATCACAGCTCTGTGATTTGGGCCATGGCCCCTGTCTCCTATATGGTTATTACATAGTCTCCCTTAAAATGACTCACTGTTTGCAGTTCATTTTATCTTAAAAAGGAAAGGTTACTGTCAGGACATAGAAATCAGGTGACCAGCCGGGCAGTGGTGGCGCACGCCTTTAATCCCAGCACTTGGGAGGCAGAGGCAGGCGGATCTTTGTGAGTTCGAGGCCAGCCTGGTCTACAGAGCAAGATCCAGGAAAGGCACAAAGCTACACAGAGAAACCCTGTCTCAAAAAACCAAAAAAAAAAAAAAAAAAAAAAGAAATTAGGTGCCAATACAAACCTGTAACTATGACAACGTTAAGGTTGGTTATCATTGCCACTGACTTCAGTTGTGACCCTGTCTTTAAGAACACCAAGCCATCATGGTGCCTGGTCCCAGAGTCTGTCTTCCTCGCATGCTATTGGAATTGTGCTAGTCTCTGTCTGGTGTTCATGCTAACTGCTTGCCCATCTCCACCTCCCTTCTGGACCTCCATTTCCACCTAACCCACAGGAAAGGCCCCATCACTGTTCATTCTACCAGACTTGACTCTTGCTTCTCATCAGGGTTATCATCCAAAATCCAGTCTGCCCCTCAGTTCAGATCCTAGGATCTGGGCCTGGAAACCACACAGAGAAGAGCCCTGAAGTTGAAGGACTGAAGAGTCCAGTTTGTATAAGAGCGACCTCCAGCTGCAGCCTGGCACCTGGGCATATGGCATAGGTGTTACACAGAAGGCCTGGCCAGCTGTCAGGCATGCTCCTGTCTCTTTCTTTTGTTTCTTGGGGTTGTTTTGAGGTGCTGGCGTTCGAACCCTGGGTCTTACCCATGTGATGCAGGCACAGTACCATGTCACTGTCCTCAGCCCTCCCTGCTCATTTCTGTCTTGTGTCTGGAGGTCCCACACTCACTCCTATTTGGTTTTCTGTTTATTTAGGTGAGTTTTGTTGTTGTTTTTATTTTTGGAGGGGGTGATTTTCAAACATATTACTTAATTTCAACAGGTATATATGTTTATAGCAGAAAATTAACTCTGCTTAAAAGCCTAAGCTACAAGGGGAAAACCACCTTGCAGAGATTAAAGTTTTGGGTGTTTTTGTTTTGTTTCTAAGAATAAACTCTTGTCAGCTTGTCAGTGAACTTCCTTTTGACACCCCAAGGAACCCAGTTGGCAAGACATCTGCAGATACTTATTTGGGCTGTTGAGACAGGACTTGGGGTTCTGTACAGGAGCTCAGGAAGTGTACCCTGAGGCTGACTTCTGGGTCATCACCAATGTTTTATTTCTGCTCTTGAGTTCTGTTTCTTCCCTGCCAGTCCCCCAATGCTAACCATGTGACCCACACTGGACCCTGAGCTAGCCTCGTGGTAGCCGCCTCGTCTCAGCCGCAGCTGGGGGGCCACCTCGCTTGTGTCTCTGTGGTCTGTGTGCCCCGCTGTACCTGCTTTGGGCCTCCATGTGCTTGCCCAGCCTTGGCATGGGCTTACAACCTCATTTCTCAATGTCTTCTGCCCCAGGCCCCGGGGATCAGAAACCAAAGCGAGGGTCCCCTCGAGCAGGCAGTGTTGACCGCACAGATGCCTCCACCGACCCAGCTGTGAAGTCCTGGCCCTCAGAGCCTGGCTCCCGGACTTTTTCAACCTCAGCCATCATGGCAGCCCCTTCCAGCTCCACCCCAGTCCCCAAGCACCCAGGCCGCACCAAAGGTGAGTAAGACCTCTAGATGAGGCCTGCAGCCCTTCTAAAAACAAGGTACTCGCAGAGGGGAAACACTGATGAAGATTTTTGAGTCACAAAGTTGGTGCAAGCCTTGCCTCTACTTATCAGCCAAGTGACTTTGGATAAATAATTCAACCATCAGTAGGCCTAAGTACCATGAGAAAAACCTCAGGACCCACCAGCAGCAGCATTCAGGCTTTGGTGGCACCAAGGCTGGGCTGATACCAGGCAACTCCCTGGAGTCAGGAGATACATTCTGTAGAAAAGATGAATGAGGGGGTCTCTAACCCAGAAGTCTGTTGACAGAACCGAGGACAGATGTCCCATGCTGCAAACAACGGCATCAGTGAAGGGTGTGCAGATATGCGATATACTAGAACTCCAGTGGCCATGTGTGTTCACACCTCAGGTGCAAAACCAATAGTCCTTGGGTCTCGTTAGCTGAAGAGATTCCCAGCTAAATGGCTTGGTCAGATGTCAAATAAAGCCCTTAGAGTTTCAAGGATTCTGTGGACACCCGGGGAGAGCCTACAGCCCCAAACAGAGGAAAAGCCAATGCAGAAGTCACTGGCATAAACGGGGGTGTTTGGAAGCATTGAGATGAAAGTGTTAAAATGCCTAACGGTGATAAGAAAAGTTACTGTGCTCATGAAACAAGAGCAGGATGCTATGAAAGAAGTGATGGCAAGAGAGAAGCATTTGAAAATCTCAAATAGACAAACAGAAGGGAAGGAATGCCTAAAACTGCTATCCATATAGTTGAAGAGAGATGAAAATACAAAAAAAAAAAAAAGAAAGAAAGAAAGAAAAGAAAAGAAAAAACAAAAACAGCTGAATATGATTGCTTCTTCGGGGCTGGACCTACACAGTCAGCCTTGGAAGGCTTAGGCGTTGCACAGCCTTGATGCTGTAAGTAAAACACAAGCATCACTCATGGGGCCCCTGCGCTCACGGTCTGGACACTTGTTGCCGGTGGGTAGGTAACTGATTTCAACATGGAGATCTTATCCTTTCAGAGGCGACCCCACATTTAGTGCTTAGATAGAGACACTGGCAAGCTTGGAGAGGCCTCTTGATGGCTGACTGGAGGGTTCCCCAACTAATGGGGCTGAGGGTGCTAGGCCTGCTCACCCTCTCCTCTTGGGTGCTGGGTCCCGTCTGTCTCCTTTTCCTTTCCTTCCCTCCTGCTACCTGATGGCATTGTGACCCCTGAAGATGAGTTGTTGCCACACCCTCTGCCTTTGGTGCTGCTGGCTTTCAGGGTTGGAAGGGTTCCCGGGGCAGTAGACTCTGCTCCTTTACCTGGCCCCCAGGCTAGAGCTCCCTTGCCCCTCATGCACGGGCACAAAGTGTGACCGAAAGTAGATGGAATCAGTCCAATGCATTAGCCTGTCTCCTCTTCCCAGGTAGACAGATAAGCAGAGGCACCATCCATACCCCCTCTCTTAACCAAGACTTGGACCTTACCTTGATTCTGGGGGCTGAACAAAGGGCCGAGATGGTCATGCAGCCAGGGATCCCAGGGTTGTCCTTGTGGGTTGTGGGTGTTCTAGAACCCCAACACATTAACTTTATTCTCACCTTAGGTAGTAATTCAGATGACAACCTCTGTGAGTCTTCCATGGAGCCTGAGGGCCCCTACCCCAGGCAGCCAGGTGAGTGGCTGGTGTGGTATCAGGTGGGTTTTTATCAGTAGCACTTTGAGTTCAAGCTCAGCAGCATGGATGTCCTGGAAACCTAACACGAAAGAGGTGAGGGTGGGATTGTTAGGATGGACGTGGAGATGCAGGGGCTGGAGCCTTTCTGAGCCTGCCTTCCCTGCCCTGCCCAGGAGCTGCTTCTCACAGTTCCTACTGGGCAGCCTCTACAGGTAAGGAATTCACTGTCCCCCTAGAAGCCTCCGGTTCAGAAAACTCTTGGCATGCCTTGCTGTACAGCAACCTTCAGGTGTGCCAGGGAGTCCTGGTGACCAGTGCAGGGACCAAGCTTTAGGAAGGCTTGCACTTTTCTCTTGCTTGCCTCTGGTAACACCGAGTTGTATGAAATTGCAGTGTTAGACATGCTGCTTCTCACCTGGCTGTGGATGTTGTAAGTTTCTGCAGACGAGAGAACAGGTAACAGCCTCCCAGGCTTCCCAGTACTACGAGTTGCTTTGGTTTCCTTTTTCATTCCTTCCTCCCTCCCATGCACCTTCCTTCCTTGAGCCCAGCCTTCACACAGGCAAGACAAGCACTGTACCAGTGAGCTGCCACCCCGAATCTCAGCCTTTAAGTTTATTTTAGGTGCGTGCATGTTCTCCCTGTGTATATACGTCTGTACCACTTGCATGCCTAGTGCCTCTGGAGGCTAGAAGACAGTGTCAGGTTTTCTGGAACTGGAGTCATAGATGGTTAGAAGCCCCCATGTGAATGCTGGAAATTGAACCTGGGTCCTCTGGAAGAGCCAGTGCTCTTAAATGCTCAGCCATCTCTCCAGCCCCCAGTTCTCGGTTTTTAAAAAGTGATTCTAGGGGGCTGACAGATTGGCTCAGTGTATAAGGGCACTTGCCAAGTGCAGGCCTGGAAACCTGAATTTGATCCCATAACCCATGCGGTGGAAAGAGAGAACCAACTCCTGCATTTGCCCCTTGACCTCCATACACACGTGTGTACACACACACACACACACACACACACACACACACACACACACACACACACAAAGTAAATAAATGTTCAACAAGAATGAATGTTTTAAAAAATAAAAAGCAGTGGACCAGCAGGATGGCTCAGTGGCTAACAACACTTGCCACCAAGCTGGATAGCCTGAATTCAGTTCCAGGGACCAACTCCTGAAAATTGTCCTCTGACCTCTGCACATGCCCTCTCATACATAACACACACTAAATCAACATTTTGTTGTTGTTGTTTGTTTTGTTTTTAAGTAAACCCCAGAAGGATAGAAAGAAATTCCTCAAAAGGGAAACTGGAGGTTTACATGGGTTCGGATTGTATCTGATGTGCTTGGAGTAGTCGAGGGATCCAGCATTGTAGATTCCTGCCCACTGTGTAGAAAGCCAGACAGTGGTGGCATTAGTTAGTTACGAGTCTGAGTGAAGGCAGACTCTTTAATGAGGCCTCCTGGCCCAGGAGCCCTTCTGTCTTTACCCAGAGTGGGGGGCCCTATAGTAGGAGGGGCCCTTCCAAGTACACCAGCTCACTGAGTGCCCTGTTTGGCGACCGGTTGCCTGGCCAGGGGGTTCTTCAAGCACCTCCGTTGCCTGGCCAGGGGGTTCTTCAAGCACCTCCCGACTCCTGCAGCTTCTCTGTTCAGCATATGGAACGAAAAGAATTGTTTAATGAACATGGGTGTGTGGACTTGGTGGTTCAGGCCTGTAATCCCAGCTCTCAGGAGGCTCAGACCAGAGGGTTATGAGTTCAAGGCTACTCTACCTAGTAAGGCACTAACTCAAAACAAAACCAAAATTAAACAGTAAACATGAATGTTTTCCCTTAGTGCCACCCAGTGCCTGTTACAGAACAGCCTGTGTTTCTAGCTGCCCCTCCACGGAGGGTCTTGGTCCAATATTGTTTCCCAAGCTCCAAGTCTTCTTTGGCTCATCCCTAAACACCTTGCCAACAAGTGTGTTCCGTGTACCTGCTCTGTGTAGAGCCTATCACACTTGGGACTTAGGCCTGTGTAGACACCTGAGCTCCTTGGGGACAGCAAGCCAAGGGCCTTCTAGTATTTCTGAAGGCTTGCCCAGTGCCACTCCACAGCCACACTTTGCCCCTGTCCCTCGGGGTTCGGAGCCCAGCAGCAGAGGTGTTTGCTCCCCTCACACTGGCATAGGCTGCTGCAGAGGGACCAGGAGAGGTCTGCAGACCCTAGAAGGGATGGTCCAGCCATGGCGACGAGTGATGTGCCATCCATCTGCATCTGAAGCAGGGTGATTATTGCAGACTGGCCCAGGCTGACACTCATAGTCCCAAGGACTGGGTCCTTCTACCTGTGTTAGGAGGAGCCTGGAGTTTCAGTTTAGAGCAGATGAATGTTTGAGGCAAGTGACTGTAAAGAGCCGAAGAAAAGCAGCCGCTTTGCTCCTGACATCCTGGCGTCCCCTCCTGTGATTACCTACAGGAGACGCTCAGACACACACTGCTGCATGCACATCCGTGTGTGCGCCTGCTGCCGTGGACAGTACCTCACTGATGTTTTGGAAAGGGCTGTTTGCATGTGTTCCGGAAAGTTCTGTGCAGTAAGAGATGTGGTCTCTGTGCTCCAACCCTGGGTTTGCCCAGAGGAGCCGTTTTGTACTGGAATTCTGTGATGTGGCCTGTTTTATTACTGTTTGAAACTAGATGCCTAGACCTGGGAACGAATGGAGACCCAGCTCTGTCAGCTACGGCTAGCCTGCTGAGTGCCGTGTCTAGCTCTCTGTTGCTGAAGCCAGTGGCCTCAGCAGAGTGTATGCCGCATCCTGCGGACCTTCCTGGCTGAAAACACTGGTCTGAACTGGTGTAGAATTGCTTTGATGATGTTTTCTTCCTCAAGTCAGGGTGTTAACCTGGGATCTACCTGGTCACTGGCCCTTTGTATTAAATACAGTCGTTCCTTCCCAGTGTCGAGGCCGAACAGCTTGGAGAGCAGCAGGAACACGTCCAGCAACAGCTCGCCGCTGAGCCTCAAGGGTAAGGTTCTTCCCATGGAGCACTTGCAAACATTTATTTGAACGTTCAGCTCTGGGCTCTTACCATTTTTACAGTTCAACTCTGCTTAGTGGGCCTTGAGACACATTCCGGTGCAGTCATGGGCCATACACCAAGGCTTCAAGCATAGGCTAGGGAGTTCTGAACAGATTAGAGACAGGTCCCTTCTTCCCCTGCCTACCCTGAGGACATGGGTAAGTCACAGGTCCTCTGGGTCCAAACTGGGTGGAAAAGGGATAGGGACCAATGTTCTTTTCCACTCAGAACTGAGAACAAGTGTGATTCCTTTTGAAAATGAGTTTTGTATCCCAAGCTGTTCTCCAGCTCACTCTAGAGCCAAGGCCAGAGTGTCACCATGCTAGCTTGTGTGGGGCTGGGACACTAATCCAGGATGTTAGCCAAGCACTCTGCCAACTGAGGTATGTCCCCAGGCTGAATTTGATTCTTTAACAGAAATTTTAAATTTTAAGGGTTTTGTTTCGTGGTCTGTTTTCATGTTTGGACCCCCTCCCTCCCATAACCCCTGCATTTGAAGAGGACATATGCGGTCACATGACCTTATTGCTTGAGACTAAGTTTATCAAGATTTTTCTTCTTAACCTTCTACATGATTGACCCCTGCGAGAGTGACCTCGCATCTAGTGGATGCGAAGTGAGCTTTTATTATGTGAGTGAATGGGAGCTAATGAGCATGTCAGGGTTAGTGATTTGAATGTTACCGCTGGCTTCAGCAGCACACGTCCTGACATTGGAACAGTGTCAACGGCGTGGTTCCTGAGCAAGGGTGATATGTAAGCTGATGGAGCCATGAGGCGCTCCGTCCTTCTGCACTGGGCTTATTATTCCAGTGCAAACCTTCTCCTCAGCACACACACTTCATCTGCAGTTTCTGTCTTTTGTGACACAAAGACAGTTGTTGTTATCCTGGGAGATGCACTTTTTTTTAAGAGGAGAGAAATAGGACTAGGGATAGAGCTCAACTTATAGAGTTGGCTTAGCGTGCACGAAGCCGAGTTCTGTCCCCAGTACTGCATCCACTAGGCACATGCCTCCAATCCTAGTACCTGGGAGGTAAAGGCAGGAGGATCAGAAGTTCAAGGTCGCCAGCAAGGGCAACATGAGACAGAGTTTTTGTTTTGTTTTGTTTTTAACTAACTAAATAAATAAAAAATAATATAACATGGAGGAATATTGTCTGCTGCCTAAGAGATGGGAAAAATTTTATATTCATTTTTAAATTTTAGTGAGAGTTTTCTACTTTTGCTTTTTACCAGTTTGTTAAGAGTCAAAGTATGGTGTTAATGGCTGCCTAAGCAATCGTGGCTGGGCAGCAGGAGTGCCCAGGGCTTGGGGACAGATTTTCTCAGTTGGGATGGTTTCAGGTGAGCTGCAGGGAGCAAGAGAGAGCTGTGACTGATGCGTGGCCCTCGGTTGCCCTCCCAGGTTCCTCTGACCGTCTGCACAGCCGGTGTGAGAGCTTCAGCAGCGCAGACCTGATCCCCAGCAGGGACCCCTCCACACTGTCTCGGGATGCCGGCACCCCAGGACGTGGTGTTCTCAGCCGCCATGAGTACCCTCCGCTCCGGAATGGGCCTGTCCCCCAGGACAGTGTCCAGAAGAGGGGTGCAGCTCCAGCCCACACTGGGGGGCGGTCCCGCTCGGCCTCACCCAGCAGTGAGATGGTCACCTTGGAGGAATTTCTGGAGGAGAGTAACCGCGGCTCTCCGACCCACGTGAGTTCTCCGGCCCAGCAGGAGCCAGTGTTGTCGGGAGGGACAGCAGGGCTGGCTGGACTGTGTCAGGATATTCAGTGCCACTAGCCAAAGGATTGCTGTGAGCTGGCCTCGGGGCCCTTAGAACCAAGCTGGCGTAGCCTGTGGCCAGCACCCACGTAGGGTTTGTGACTGAGCTCTGAGTGCTGCTTAGCCAGGGCCATCTCCAGCAGCCATGGGCAAGCGCGGAGGTGTAGCTAAAGTTTTCCTGCCTTGCCCACAGTCAGGACAAATCTCTGTCACCCGCCAGTCCCACAGCTGCTCAGACCCAACCAAGTAAACACAGAGACTTATATTGCTTACAAACTGTATGGCCGTGGCAGGCTTCTTGCTAACTGTTCTTATATCTTAAATTAATCCATTTCTATAAATCTATACCTTGCCACGTGGCTCGTGGCTTACCGGCATCTTCACATGCTCCTTGTCATGGCAGCGGCTGGCAGTGTCTCTCCTACTCAGCCTTCCACTTCCCAGAATTCTCCTCTCTCCTTGTCCTGCCTATACTTCCTGCCTGGCCACTGGCCAATCAGTGTTTTATTTATTAACATACTTGCCATACAGAACATCCCACAGCACGGAGGGGCTCTCAAAGGGCCGCAGAGTAAACATTTTAGACTCCTGGGCTGCAACACAAGTGGTAGTTGTGTTGCAGCCATCTTGCCCTGCTCCTGTAGAGAATGCAGACTTTGGCCAGGCCTGGCACAACTGCTTACACGCAGTGACGTTTGAATTCTGTGTGGTTTTCACATGCCGTGATGTAACTGAGAGAGGGTGCGTGTGCGTGCATGCATGCATGCATGCATGCGTGCATGCAGTGCTAGGGATTGAACCCAGGGCTTTGTGCCATTCCTAGTTCTGCTTGGGTTCTTGTTTGCTTGTTTTTGATATTTTTGTTCAGTTGTTTAGAAACATGAAAACTTACTTGGAGCTGGGCATGGTAGTCATCCCCTTAGAATCCTAGCACTGAAAAGGCAGAGACATGCAGGTCCCTGAGGCTCCTTGGCCAGCCTGCTATGCTAATTGGTGAGTTTCAGGCCAGAAAAAGACTGTTGTCTTTTAAAAAAAGACAAGGTGGACAACCTCAGAGGTTTTTCCTTTGGCCTCCACGTACATGTCTGCACATTGCAACATTGCATACAGGCACACACTCATACGTGCATTACCCACCCGTCAAAGACTTGTTTGCTCACACATTGTGAAAAGAGGCTGCAAGGGGCTGGAGGTGTAGTTACCAGGGCAGGACCCTGGGTTCGATCTCTAGCAATGCAAGCGTGTGCGTGCACACACACACACACACACATACACACACACACACACACTAGCTCAGTAGCGTCTCACCCCCATAACCACCTGTTGATAGAACCTCCTGTGCTCTTCAGGGCCTCAACACATCTTAGGGCCACCTATAGGCTATAGTGTGCTGTCTGAAATTTGTAATGTGATCTCTTGGGGTTTTTTTGACTGAAATATACCATCTTGGCCTTGAGGACTGTTGAGCTAATGCTTCGGTTTTTCCTCCTTACTCCCCTTAAATAAAACAGATCTCATTCATGTAGTAAAATCCACGGCTTGTACTGAGAGCACAGAGGCATGGGGTATAGTAAATACTTGCTCATGAGTGTTCATTGAGTACCTAGTGTCTATCGGGCAGTGGGCGTGGTGCCTGCTCTCCGCAAGTAAAGCCAACCAGCTCCTCCAGAAGTTTTCCCAGCGCCTGGCTTCATGGTCAGCACAGGAGGGAAACACGGAATGTGGTCCTGGTCTCCTTCCTGTGCTTGTGTTCTGTCTGTCTGTGCTGGCTTCATGGCAGCTGCTGGAGGTCCCCAGCTGAGAAGCACAGAGTACCCTGGGAAGCTGATGTCTCCTGTTAATGGTTTCTGGGCCCTACTGTAGGTCCAAATTGCCTGGTAGGCTTGCCAGAACACACGCCACACTGGGGCTTCTGGCTGGGTGGGTCGGAGGCAGTGCTCATGTCAGTGAGCATCATATGAATTGCTGACACAGTGGCATAGTCCAGGAGTCGGGGAGAGCCTGCAGCTGGAACCTGCCTTCCTTCTTGGTCCTGGAGTGGTGTCCACAACAGTGTGTCCTCTCCCCTTGCAGGTTCTGAGAAAGGATGAGCGCCTCTCCTCTGCTCAGACCTGTTGTCAGTGACAGAGCCTCAGACCTTACAGGCTCCCCCACCTCGTCTCAGCTGATAAGAGGCCTTTTGTAGCCATTTCTGTTGGAGTCTGATGTGGGCAGCCATATAGCCTCCCACACCCCCCCTTGAGTGCCTAGGACAGCTCAGTTGTTTGAACTCCAGTAGAACCCTCCCCAGTAGGGTCCCCACCTAAGCCTTTGATGCTGGGGTTGGCAGGGAGGGGCGTATGTTGGGTTCCTGGGGTAGCCAGGAAGGCTGATCTTCTGAACGTGGGTACTCAAGACTTAGAAATTCACTTACACAAAGACAGAGGCCACACATTTACTCATGCAGAAGCTAAAAGAAGCTGATAGAGAAGGAGTGAGTTCCAGTGGCCGGAGAGCAGGAAGAGAAGCATTTGGAGATTCCAAACACAGAATGTATGCATGCTTTAGGGTGTTTAGGCCTGTGTAGAAGGCCACGTACCCTGACTTGAATGGCAGTTACAAGTCAGTTCAACAGAAGACAAGAGGGGTCGGGGACAGAGGCTCAGCAGGTACAAAATGCTCGCTGTGTAACCCTGACAACCTGAGTTCGATTCCCGGAACCCGCACAAAAAGCTGGGTGTGTGGTGGCGTACATTGGTAATCCAGGGCTCCTCCAATGAGGTGGAAGGTAGCTAGAAGATGGGAGTTTCCACAGCTGCCTAAGGGCAGCTAGCCTCGGGCAAGCAGGGACACAGCAGGAGTGAGAGGCCCTGCCACAGCAGGTGGAAGGTGAGAGCCAGCTCCCTCACCTGCACACAGGCAGAAGTAAATGACTGAATGAAAACAGAAACCACACGCAGAGAGGAGGGGACTGGTGTGGAGATGGGCCCCGGAGTCAGCCCTGGCCTAACCTCAGACCTGCCCTGCCATCTCAGGTTCTATGGCCTGCTCGACCTCATTTCTTTATCTGTCATAAGTAGTTTTTCCACAGCTTGAACCAAACGCTGCCAAGCTGCTTTGGGAATTGGGTGAGTGTAGACGGAGTTTTCTTTGGGCTGCCAGCTCACAAAAAAATGACACGGAGACTTATTATCAGTTCTAAAAGCTTGGCCTTAGCTTAGGCTCGTTCCTAACTAGTTCTTATAACTTAAAGTAATCCATATTTTTTTTTAATCTACATTCTTTTATGTGGCTCTGTTACCTTTACTCTGTACTGCCCATCCTGTTTCCTCTCGGTCTGGCTGGCGACTCCACCCTTTCCTCTTCGCGGAGCTCTCTCTGTCCAGAAGTCCCTGCTACACTTCCTGCCTAGCTATTTATTGGCTGTTTAGTGTTTATTAAACCAGTCACAGTGACACATCTTCATACAGTTTAAAGGAATATTCTACAGCAGGTGAGGTGGGTTTTGGGGGGTTTTGTTTGTTTGTTTGTTTGTTTGTTTTTGGTAGATGAAGCCTAGAGCAGGGCCTGGTGGCCACAGGTGATAAATGACAAATGTGGGCGTTAACAGTCACAGCTCTTCCTGGGTGCCCACAGCAGATCACATCAGAAAGCACCGCCTTTCTGGGGTTGCTAAACAGGTCCCGATGGCTTCTGAGCCACCGGTCCGTCCTTCAATCTGGCACCACTGCAGGTCACAGCAGGCCACAGAAGGCCACAGCAGGCCAGGATCTACCTCCAGTAGGATCTGGTGGCTCCTGACCCTTACATCCTGTCTGAGCTCCCGTCTCTCCGCTTCCCATTGAATTTATCTGTCGTGTGTATGTTTGGACACGCGCACAGTGGCACACATGTCATCAGAGGATAGCTGTGTTTTCTGTTTCCATCAGTGGGTCCTGGGGATCCAACTCAGGCTGTCCGCCTTGGTGGCAAGCATTTTTACCCCCCTGAGTCATCTTAGCAGCCGCCCTCCTGTCCGCCTTGGGGGAAAAGCCCTCACCTTGACTGCTGCCTCTGCCAGCCCCTGGGATGCTAACTAATGGCTACCGACCCTGGGCAGCATCACAGACCTTTGCCTCCGACAGATCTGCTTGTTTCCAGGGTGGTGGCAGAGGATACCTTCTGGATAGGAAAAGCAGAGCCTTAGGGAAGCAGTTTTGTGGAGCCCTAGGATGAGCTCTCTCCACTTCTGGGCCCTCTACCTCTCTGGCTTCCACCTCCCATCCCACCTCGCTTCCCTTCTCGGGAGGAAGATGTGGGTGGTGGTGCCAGTTCTGGTTGTGTGTCGTGTTTCTTTCCTGTCCTCGTGAGTGCCCAAGCCTGTGGGATGGATAGAGAAAGAAGGGCTAATTCATTCCCAAAAGCTTTCTCACCCTGCTCTGTACTGTAGGGGAGGGAGATGGCTGAAAGGGCTGTGTCCAGGTCTCAGTACCAACATTAAAATTGGTGGCTTTGGGGGAAGTCACTTCCCTCCATGTCTGCTTGAGCTGTCTGGGTGGTATCTGGGGTTCTTCACCCAATGACCTCTGTACTCCTGGCCCTTCATTCCAGACTGCTTCCTGGGCATGCCCGAAAGAAGCCCATGAGAGACAGAAATGTCAGTCCGGACTCCCAGTTTCCCACCTCTGTTCTCTCCTCTCCCCAGGACACTCCCAGCTGCCGCGATGACCTCCTGAGTGATTACTTCCGAAAGGCCCATGATCCTCCCGCCACGGGAGGCCAGCCCAGACCACCAGCTAGGAAAGACGGAGCCAAGATGCCCACCAGCTTTGTGGCTCCCATCAAGATGTCAGTCAACACCTCTGAGGGGCAGCAGCTGAAGCCAGGGCATTATGTAAAGCCCAACTTGAGACCATCTGAGGCCGAGGTCCTAGCTGGGGTCCCTTCCAGACAGGTCCAGCCTCCCCAAAGCCTGTCTCTGGGTAGACCCAGGCAAGCCACCATGCCCTCAACTTGTCACATGCCTGCCAGCCGAAGTGCATCTCTGAGTAGAACCTTCAGCCTGGCTTCAGCTGACCTCCTCCGGGCCAGTGGGCCAGAAGCCTGCAGGCCAGAGTCTCCTCAGAAGTCAGGGTGTTGTCCTGAGGCTGCAGGAACCAGAGACACAGGCAGCCACAACCTGCAGGGCTCCCACAGTCTGGCCCGGGAGCGGACTCCACTGGTAGGAAAAGCTGACAGCTCCTCTCCAGGCCCAGGTACTCGTGGCCGGCCACTGGACACAAGGCGCTTCTCTCTGGCCCCCCCAAAGGAGGAGAGGCTGGCCCCCCTGCAACAGTCTGCCACAGCCCCAGCCCTTGCCACTGGATGTAGCAGTGGTAGCAACCCCCCGATCCAGCACTTTTCTCCCATTGTGGCTCCTGCTGTCAGGACAAAACCCAAAGTGCCACCACACTCAGGGGAGGTAGCCACCGTCGCTCCTGTGCGGTCGGGGGGGCTCAACACCTCGGAAGGAGACGGGGGCCCAGGGCATGGCTATAGCGAGGGGCTCCTGACCAAAAGCCCTGGTAGATCTCCTGACTTGGCTCCCCATGTCAGCCGGGGCCCTGATGACTTCAATCAAGGGAGCAGCTCAAAGAGCACACCAGCGTCCCCAGAGCCAGGTGGGGACCCGCAAACAGTATGGTATGAGTATGGTTGTGTGTGACTCTTATCACTGGATCTGCAGCTTGCAAACCCTGAACTACTTGTGCGCCTTCTGATTACACTAGCCTTTTCTCCTGTGTGCCCATGGTGCCAGGAAAGGGTATGGGATAGGGAAGGGGTTCCCACACAGTCATCCTATTGGTCGATGGAAACACTGTGCCAAGCCCTAAGAGGATTACTCTCCAGGGTCTGTAACTTATCTTCTACATCTACAGCTTCCAGCAGCTGCTGTCTTATGGACGAATCTATTTAGCATGGGGACTGCTTAGAATTCAGTGGCAAAACCTGTTTACGCATAAACAGACACTACTTGAGTAGGAATACTCCTTTGCAACCTGTCAACCTCCGTTAAAGAGTGTCCGCGCATGTGGATACATGCGTGTGTACCAGGCTCACAGAGCTAAGTCCCGACAATGGGTCGGTCTGGAAACTCCACTCCCACCTAAAAGCCATTGGTCTTGGGAAAAGCCCAGAGCAGGGCTGGCTGTTAAAACCAGGACCATCGCCATCCCGTTCCTGGGCTCTAAGCACTTCCCTTGATAGCAAGACCAAGCTTCAGGATCAGCCACAGGGTCTGGGCTCTGCTTAGTGGGTTTTGAAGCCACCCAGGGATGAGCCTTTTGGGACTTCCCAGGCTCACTTTCGTACAAACACTGGATCTGCTAGGCCTAGGGTGTGAAGCAAAAAGGTGTCCTATGTGTGTCCCAGAGAGGGACTGTCCGGCAGGCGTAATTAGTACACAGAAGGAAGACCAAAGCCACACTTGATATGTAATGTGGCCATTGCACCCAGCCTTCCTTAGTGCAGAAGGAATGTTACTATTTCTGAATAACTTTGGGGGTAGAAACCAAATTTCTTTAATATATATGGACACACATGAATATATATATATATATACTTTCGGGGGTCTATTTATGTTCCTGTTATGTTGGAATTCATTCTTCAGGGTCTGACCTGCTGTTCGTGTATTTGGTCCAATTCCTGACATGTTTCGTTTCCTATTGTAATGGTGCTTTTCCTGGGATGGACTAATTGATTGGTTTTCTGTTTTGATGTAATGTGCTGAGAAAGAAACTGGGGAGACCTCTGGATGTTAACAAGATCCGTGGGAAGGGTGTTTGGGGTTTTATGTGTTAAATGGCCATTAGTTTTGGAAGACGAGGGCTGGGCCATAATAAAATGGTTTGGAACCTGGGTGAGTCCTGATTTTCTTCAGTGAGCACCATGGCTGCATGCAGTGGGCTACCACAAACTAGGGCTCCCACCCCCAGGCTCCTCCTCAGCTGTGGGAGTCCATAGTTGGCTGAGTCATTGGGTATATGAAGCAGCACAGCCAGCAAGACGGATGTAAAGAGCAGAAGTGTCCTGTGCCAGCAGACGCCCCATGGTCTGTGATACATTTAGTCGCCGTCAGGTGAGTCCCAGTTGGGCTTGGGAGTGCAGTCAGCACAGGATCCCCTTTTGATTTTCCCAAAGCTGCACAGCTCCCAAGTGCAAGGTCTTGGATTTGGCTCTTAGGGCGTCATGTTTAAATCGGGTGGATGGATGGGATGAGAAAAAGTATAGAAATCTCCCCAGGTGACCGAACCTTGTCCTGTTTCCCAGTCCACCTGGTGTTTTCAGTTTCCTTCCTCCCTCCCCAGACTTGCCGTGTAAGCCACTCTTGCCTCCCTGCCCTTCCTTCCCGAGGATCTGCAGTCTGTTGGATCTGGCTGCTTGGTGGGTACTGCTGTCTGTGGAGCAGTCACTTGGCAGGCTTCACTCTGGGTGGCCTTTGTCGGATTTGACACCTGGCCAGTCATGCCGTGTTGTTGGCAGTCTTTATCTCACGACTGTGTCCCTTCTGGGGACAGACTTCCCACACGTACACATCCGCAGAGAGCCTGTGGGCTGCTCTGGGTTCCCTCAACCACTTCTCTTCGTTCCACACGCCTTCCCTGCGCTCATAAACATAGACCTTCTAGAAGCTTCAGGCATGAAACCCACCTTCCTGCTCTTAACCTCTCAGCTCATCTCCCCAAGCTCTTCAGCTGACCCCATCTGTTGTGCCATCACAGAAGCCCGAGTTTGTTCTGGGCCCTCCTATTGGAGGATTTAGTAAGGCAACTCCATGTAGCTAAAAAGGAGGTTTATTTGGGGGGGGGGGGTAACTTACAGCTAGTAAAGGGGTTGGTTACAGGATCCGGGAGAGGTGAGGTGCAGTCCTGCTGGGTTCTCTGGAGAACTCCACTCGGTCAACCATCCAGCCTCCAGGATCACCAGGAACCAAGCGAGCCGGCACATCTGGATCTCAGGTCTTAAGGGCTCCTGTCTCAGCCCCACCTCAGGGGCCAGTCATAGGTAGGTGTGACAGTTACCTCACTGGGAGGAGTAATTCCAGGTCAAAGCTGGAACAGCTGCCCACTACACCCTCCTCTTAACTGTATTTAGAGATCATGCTAGACCCTTGCCCTAGCCTTGGCTAGCTCTTTCATCCTCCAGCGCTGGGGCCCTGGTTCTGGTCTCTCTGCCTCCCTTTGTCTCTTCAGCCCACTCCAGCTTTGTCTAACATAAAGACTGCTGTTAAAGTCACCAGTGACACTAAGCCAAAGGTAGTCTGGTCACTCTGGTGCATTCACCCCAGGTGACCTTCCCTTTGAAACACTCCCCTCTCCAGGTCTCTGCAGTAGCCACACCCTGCACTCTGCAGACTGAGTCCTGCACACCTGAGGCACACCTAGGCTTCTCATCACCCCTCACGCCCTGACAAGCTCCTACACACCCACAATTCTAATTACAGGCCATTCCCAGGAGGCACAGAGCTGACATCCTCGGTCCCCATCTCCTTTGGAATTCTAGGTCTGCACACACATGACTGAACTGTCTCTAAGGTGCCTAGAATCTAACTCACATCTGCCCCAAACACCAGAGTAGGACAATTCATGCCTAGGTGTTTGGCATCCCCTCACCTTCCCCCATGTCCCTCCCTTCAGATGGTTTCAACTCAAACGAGTCTGCATCTGATCCCAAGTGAGGATGGCCCTATAGCAACACCATGGGTCCAGTAGTTAAGGAGTATGTCCCAACACTAAACCCCTCCTAGGTCCCATGCCCCACCTTCTACACTGACTTATATTTTGGTGTCTGGAAAGTACTCAAGTGACAGATGAGTCTTCATGTTCACAGCATGAGGTGAGGTCTAAGATTTGGGGCAAGAGGCTTTAGAACATTTGGAACAGAACAAACATTGGGGATCATCCTGGCAAATACCTGGGTCTGGCAGGGATGAATGCATACATCTAAACCTTACTGATGTGAAGGATGTGTAATATTTACAAATAATAAAATCTTATCAAAGTCCATGCAGCCACCTGATTGTCATAGAATGTTCTCATTCATGGTTACCATGCTTATGCATTGATGTCAGCCTGTACATGGCTGGCAGGTGATTGTAGTTCCAAAGTGAATGTGCATTGACACCTTGTCAGCAAGAGTAGCCAGTCAGAGTAACGTCAGATTTCATTGACCTGTGAGTGACCTGCTAAATCAGGTCATGCTTTTTGGATGCTGCATGAGAGTTCCTCCATGTTGGTGCTATTCAGAAGGTAATAGTCTCCGATATGGCTAGCTTTACTTAAAATGAAGGTGGAACGACAGTATTCACCCAATGCATCCTTTTATAGCGCTAGCATATTGTCTTCATCATTTACTTAAGTCAGAGAGTGGGAAACAAACGTTGAACTGGCACAGTGGCACAGGCCGTGCCGGTTAATCCCAGCATTCAAGAGGCTGAGACGAGAGAGGATCTTGAGTTCCAGAACACCCTGAACTACTTAGTGAAACCTTGTCTCAAAACCAAACCAAAAAGCCAACCACAAATCCAGCCATGAATGCAGCATGCCCATTTCTGTGGTGTAAATACTTGGCTGATTTCAAGCTGTGTGGTGGTGTAATAGAACATGGGTCAGGAAGAAAGGTGTGCAGTACCCTACACACACACACACACACACACACACACACACACACACACACACACACACACACTGTAAAACCCACTATACAGATAAAATATGTGTAAACCTTGAAGGTATAGAACTAGTAAAATAATGCAGAAGTGGATGAATTTTGAGTTTTTCTGATCTTTGTTTTTATTATGTTGTTTGAGCATAGCTTGACATAAGTTCATCTTAGGTAATGGCCACCTTGTTTTTATTAATTAAATTTGTTCATTTATTTGACATCCCGACATCTGGACTACAGTTTCCCCTCCCTCCTCTCCTGGTGATGGCCTCTTTTAACAACTGGTTTGCACAATTCAGTGTTCTGCTCTCAGGAGCCAGAATGGGCCAACTCCTCACCATAGGAGTGGGCTACGGCAGGGAGAGATATAAGATCGAGAAGAAATGGCCAAAACCAAAAAACAACAACAAGAGAGCAGAAGGGAAGTGAGGCTGGCGGGCCTAACCTGAAATTGAGATGGGTAGATGCTCCCACAGCAGCTCTTCTTTAGTGGCTTCCTTGTCCTTCCAGCCCTAAGGCTGGCCTGGAAGCAGGAGAACCCACTCAGTATCTGGTGATTCAGGTGACACGGTGGACATGGCAGGTCATTCCAAACTCAGCTGCCCCGAGACAGCCTTGGGGAGCCTGGGTTTGAGAACCTGTGTCGGGCTGACCCAGGGCCCATCCCCACCTACACTCTTTCCCTTCTCCGGGGGGCACCGCAGAAAGCCAGCTTGGCACTGAGGCTCTGCCTGGCAGCAGCCAGACGTCAGCCAGAGCTAGGGGACAGGACCGCCACTGTCGTCACCTAGTGCCTGGGGAAGGAGGGAGAGGAAGGTGATTGGGCTCAGCCTGGCGACCCATCCCAGTAAGTCCACCTCATCCTAGTCAGTCTGCCTAGCCAGGCGAAATCAGCCACATGTTCTTCGCCCCCCACCCTCCGCCCCCAAGTACCTCAAAAGGACCGGGGAAGGGATTTGGGTCCCTCCATCTCCAGCGGCTGTGTGACTGCACCCTCCCCAGGCCACTGCCGGGCGGTGCGGGGAGAGCTAGCCAGCCCCTCCCGGTGTCAGCCTGGGGCCTGCTCTCGCCGCCTGCCGGGGTCGGGTCTGTGCGGATGGGCGCCAAGCCTCCGCCGGACCTGCGCCACGCCCCCGCCCTGCGAGCTGCTGCGTACCGTCCGCGCCCACCGGGGAGAGGTGAGTGGCCCCACGGCTCGAGGGGGTGGGTACAGCCGGGAACTAACACGGAGGAAAAGCGGCTGCGGGCACTAGGGGATGACGGCTGACCTTCAGCAATGACGCTCCTGGACTCCTCTGGCTCTGGCAGCAGCGGAAATTTCAAATCCCAAGCTCCTGAATAAAGGCCTAGGGGCGGAGATGGAGAGGAGGAGGGCTGGGAGATAGCAGTCATTCTCCCAATCCGATCTGCTTTGATGAGCCCTGCCACGCTGTGTGAGGGTCAGCAGATCAGAGAGGTCCCCCGGCCTAGGCTTCCGGAGGGAGCAGGTCTCAGAAGTCCAGCTGCTGGGACATGTCCTGACCCTCCTATTTGTCACGTGTAGGGCAGCGGACCAGGGACCACCAGTGGCATGGCCAATGGAGAGGAACGCAGGGTGGGCCCTGGCCCAGGGAGAGGAAGGAGAAGGGAGGGGCACAGGATTATTTGTTGAGTTCCAATTTACCCTTCCTTTCATTTCTTCGTTCTCCCATTCATTCATTCATTCATTCATTCATTCATTCATTCATTCATTCTCATGGACCAACCCAGCGCTGAGCTGAGCTCTGTCCCGAGGTTCTGAAGGGAGCTCATCCCTGTCAACTAACCACTGCGGGCAGGAATCGAGAGAGGTCCTTGCTATACAAAGAAACTGTATTCCGTACCCAGAAAAGGAAAACCAGTATCCTAACACAAAAGGAAAGTAGTTAGGCAAAAACTGAAAATAAGGACAAGCCGAGCAGAGCACTGAAGCCTTGCGCCTGCTGCCTGCAGACCAGCCTGAGCTGGTCTTACATTATAACAGAACTCTAGGGGCATGCCAGGTACGCCTGTGCCCAGCAGAGACTTCCTCCTCAGTATAATTAGACAAATTAAAAGAGAACCGGATAGAGAATAACAACAGAAATCGATAGAGAATAGCAACAGAAATCACTAAATGCTTCCAGTCGGCACCTGCGCTTCACAGGGCTACCGGCGGTAGAGAGCACTTCACTTCATCCTGTTTGCAGCGGCTGGAGGGATGCTTCTTCCAGGAAGCCACCCGACATGCACCCATCAAGAGGCCCTACCTCTCCCACTGTGCCTCGGCCCTGCTTTCTTGTGGTGTATTGTTTGCTACTCCATTTATCACGAAAAGTATTTCCTGGTCTCCATCACTATCCAGGTGCCCCTCCCTGGGGTGGGGAAGATAGAGGCGAATGAGTACCTGATCTCTCGGTCCCGTTCCAATGATGTCCTGTCTTTCTCTCTGCCCTCCTCCTGCTCCTCATCCAAACCCACACTTCCATCCTTCAGGATCCCTACAGAAAAGCCTAATGAGAGCCCAGTTTCTCTAGAAACCGAGCTCTATCCTAGAAGGTTCCATCCCTGGGTAGTGCCCAAGCACAGACATTCGGTTCCATGGCCTCAGTTGTGGAGCTATACAGAGGAGAGGATGGACGGTGTAAATGCCGTGGAGTCTCCTTCAGTTGGTCCGTCCTGCAAGGAGACTGCTCTGTGGGGACTCAGTGGCTGGACTCATTCCCTGTCACCAGTATGACAAATGACCACAAATACAGTGTCTCAGAACAGCACAGAGCTATAATCTCAGAATTTCGAAGGTCAGATCCAAGAGCTCCCAGGGTGGGGTCGTCTGTGAAGGCTCTTCCGGAGGACCTCCATCCAGTAGCCTTTTTCATCTACAAGCTGCCGGCATTTTTTGCCTCATTCTTCTTCCCTCCTTCAAAACGGACAATGGCTGACGGGTCTCCTGCCTCCCTCTTTCACTCCAGCTGTTCCGTGAGCTCCCCTAAGATAACCCAGATAACCTCCCTAGCTCAAGATCTCAAGTTTAATCACACTTACCACGTCCCTTTTGCCATGTAAGATGATATATTCACAGGCTCCAGAGACGAGGACATAGACATCTTTGGGGACTGTCCCTGGAACCTCTTGGCAGGGTTGTGTTAACAGCAGCTGACACTGGATGGTCACAGCATAGACCCTGGGAAGATGGTGCCATTGTACATCTTCATTGTACGTGTGATGCACTAGGACTTTTAGAACTCTGCGGGTGGCAGAGCTGGACTCTAGAGCACCCCTTTCTGACCTTGGGGTGACACCACTTCTCTGGTACCATTGCTGCTCCCACACCCTCAGACTCAGACCAAGCAAAAACTAAAGCTGACTGAATTCAGGGGGAGAGTTGTCACTGGGATTTCTCCGGTCAGGCCCTGGTCTAGGTTACCTTTGTTGTTAATCCTCCACCTTCTCTTTCCCATAGTACCCACAACCCATAATAGGCACATAAACCATAGTCCCCGAAGACTCGAGGGAGGGCTTCCCGTAGATGGTTTTATTGTTTTGATTGATTGATTATTGGTTGGTCGGTTTTCTTGTGGTACTTTGGCTTGAACGCAGGGCCTTGTGCAAACTGGGTCAGTAATCTGCTGCTGAGCCGTAGCCCCAGCCCGTTTGTTTGTTTGTTTGTTTGTTTGTTTGTTGTTTGTTGAGACAGGGCTTCACTATGCAACCTGACTTTCAACTCTTGCTCAGACTTTGAGTGTTGCGATTACATGTGGGTATCACATGCCAAGTCCCAGTGGCTCTCTCTAAGGGCTCTGCGTCCTCCTCCTTCTTCACATATGCCAAAAGGACAAGACCCAAGAGGAGGCAGCTCTTCTAGAAAGAAAACCAAACAAAAAAAATCGGTCTCCATTTACCCAGCTCCTTGCCACAAAGAAGCCTTGCACACTTGAGCCGAGTGGAACACAGCCGCCTTCCGTGGGCGCTGGGCTGAGCAGGGATTGCTTAACGTTCAGGAGCACTTGTTAGAGCCAGACAGAGTTCTAAGAGTTTTAGACTCATTAACGCATTTGCTGCAACCCTGTGAGGCCTTGTTAGTGATGTCATTTTACAAATAAGAAAATGGAGACACAGAGGGCTGCCTAAGGCCGCAGAGCCCCAGTGGAGAAGTCAGGGTTTGGTGCATGCCCCACAAGAACCAAGGTGAGGGGCTGGAGAGATGGCCTAGTGGTTAAGAGCACTGATTGCTCTTCCAGAGGACCCAGGTTCAATTCCCAGCACCCACACAGTTCACAACTGTCTGTGACTCCAGTTCCAGGGGACCCTCACACAGACACACACACAGGCAAAACACCAATGCACATAAAATAAAAATAAACAAAAAAGAGAAAGAACCAAGGCGGGTGCTGCTTATGCCGGCTGAGCAGCCCCAACCTGGCTCACAAAACTGCAGCCAGCAAAGCCCCTTTTGTGCCTTCTCGGCTTCCCCTGCTCTCTTCACACCCCTTGCGAGTTCAATTCCTTCCTTCCTTTCTTCCTGGACTGGGAATGGAACCCCGAACTTCATGCATACTAGTCAAGCACTACTGAGCTACATCATCCCCAACCCTTGTTTTCATTATGAGACAGAGTCCCTCTAAGTTACTTAGGCTGGCTTTGAAATCGCTGAAGGGGCCTCAAACTGGTACCCCTCCCACCTTGCCCTCTGGAATAGCTGGGATCACAGGCCTGCACCAGCACACTCATCTGGTCTCCGGTTTCCATGCCAATCAGAAGTGAGGGTTCCCTTATATTCGATCTGTAGGCTGTCCTTTATATTAAGCCCATTTTAGAGAAGAAACTGAGACCCAGGGAAGCTGCCTAATTTTCACAGCATCAGACCTGCAAAAGTTCTCTGCTCTTTCCCCTCCTCAAGGAGCTCAACTTGAGCAAATCCAGCCTGAAGGCTTCTCCGTGAAGTCCCAAGGCCAGCCCTCTAGATCAGTGGTTCTCAACCTTCCTAATGCTGCGACCCTTTAATACAGTCCCTCAGGTTGTGGTGACCCCCAAACCGTAAAATTATTTTCGTTGCTACTTCATAGGTGTAATTTTGCTACTGTTATGAATCATAATGTAAATATCTGATATGCAGGATATCTGACATGTGATCCCCAAAGGGGTTATGAACCACAGGTTGAGACATGCTCCTCTCAATGCATATGCTCATACTCGGTCTGGACTTGAGCTGACTCTCCCGACCAAAACACACACACACACACACACACACACACACACACACACACACACACACACCAGCCTCAGCATCTCCTGTCTTCAGATGTCCCCATTAGTCACAGTCTTCTGAGAGCCTTCAGATTATCGAGGGAGGAGCAGAAACAGCCATGTGGCGCTCTGCTTGCCCAGGCCATCTGATGAATCAGCTCAGGCCCCAGCCTGCTGGTGTGTGGTTGATGCCAGAAATGATCATTCACAGAGCAACCAGCTTCCTGCCGCCCAGACTATTCTAGAAGGTGCTTGACTCAGCAAGGGTGGGTATTTCTGAGGAGGAAAGTTGTCTATCTGCATCCACTTGCATCATCAGCTCTGCCTAGGACATGTTCCGAGGTGACAGGAGGCACAGGGCAGGGCAGGCAGTGATGGGAACCATGGGGCTGAGCAGGCACAGAAATGAGCCGGTGCTGGAGACTGGGGAGGAGTTAACTGTCCGTTCTTCCTTCTGGAGAATGGAGAGAGATTTGCTCTGAGGCTGGCCAGCTGCGCGCATTGGAAGAACAAGATGGGGGAAACGGTCACTCTTAAAAGTAGTTAATCTTTGCTCGTTCTTAACTCCCCATTCTGTCCTCCATGTGTGTATCCACTGTTTCTGTGTTAGTCCCAATCCCAGTGGGAATCAGAGACCTGAGTGGCAGGGTCCAGAAGACTGACCCAAGGGGTGGTCATATGGAACTAGCATATCTGGGGATCAGGGGCTCCCCCAAGGCCTACAGAAGGAAAGTAGAGAAGAGCAGGAAACAGAGCTGACCCCTTCAGCAAGAGGGGGCAGCCAACCTAAGGCCACCCTGGGAGAGGGACTAGATCCCATGAGTCCCCATTCTCCTCATATTGGTTAAACACAGGCACCAAGACAGGGAGCCAGGACTCAGTCCTCCAAGAAATGGGTGAAGAGTGGGTGTGGACAGGCAGAGGAGAGCACACAGTAAACTCCTGCCTGGTCGAAAGTGTCACACACATGGTCCAATGCCTGCCGTTTTCTGGACCTCTGCAAAGCATCACCCTGCGTTTGATACTGAAAATAACAATGAACCCATTGTCTCTGCACTCAGCGTAAAGACGGTGTTCAGGGAAAATGCCAAGACAAAACATACAAACAAGAAAACCCAAAGCCATAGGAGGCTGGAAAAGAAGACCTGCAGCAAACGGTACCTGCTGGGGACAGAGAACTTCCGGCCTTGTCTCTGGAACCCTGGCCATGTGGGAAGGGATTTCTGTGAGCATGAAAGATGTATTCCAAATCAGCATTCCAGGAGCATTTTCCATTCCAGGCCCAGGAAGCGCCTGGAAGATGATACATACTTCCTTTCAACTTAGCCAGCTATGTGTTCTTTGTAAGGTTGTTGCCAGGTTTCGTTTTCAGTAGAACAAATTCCACTGCCCCTGCCAAAGACCTTGACCCCAAAGAACCTCAGCAAAGCCTGGCCAAAAGATGGCACAGTGGGCAGAGGGATAAGTTGCCTTTTGGGGGTGGTGGTGAAGACAGGGTCTCTCTGTATAACAGCTCTGACTGTCCTGGATCTCCCTTTGTAGACCTGGCTGGCCTCGAACTCACAAAAGACCCCCTGCCTCTGCCTCCGAGTGCTGGGATTAAAGGCGTGGGCATTTGCTACCACGCCCGGCTCACCTCTTCAAATCTAGAATTTTCTTATGGAAGAGAAAGCCAGAATTGCCCTGTCTGTACCTGTACCAGTATCACCAGTTCTGAGACTCTGAGAAACTGAGGGTCATCCTCCTGTCTCCACAAGGTGAGGTACAAATCAATAGGAGGCTTAATTCAAGGGCATTTAGGAGTTAGGGGTGTAGTTGAGGGGCAGAGTGCTTGCTTAGCATGTATGAGACTCTAGGTTCAATTCCCAGCACCACAGGTGGTAAGAGGCACAAGATACTATTTGGGCATCTGCAAACAGAGATTATGGGTTAGAAACAGGGAGACAGGACCACTAAGTAGAGCTCCCCAGAGCCAGGGCCCTCCAAAGTTTATGGCATAGATTCTCCACAGCACCACAGGAACTGTGGGGCATGACATCAGTATGGGGTTGGCTTTGTAGTAAACTGTCACCACAGCCTGGCTGGACTCCAGAGTCAGAAGCACAATGACCCAGCTAACAGTGGGTTTTAGAAGAGCCCTCTTCTTTCGGGGAAGGAGAGAGAGAGGGAGGGAGGGAGGGAGGGAGGGAGGGAGGGAGGGAGAGAGGGGCAGAGGTGGAGCATAATTATTGAGGGAAGCAGTTTTAGGGTCTGAACTCCCTTAGAGTCCTGCCTGGGTCACTTGGAAATGGAGTGGACTTAGGCAGTTCATAGCGCCTCAGTTTTTTGATCCGTGAGATGGAGAGAATAAACCTAATTACAACAAAAACTCAGGCATGAGCTCTAAGGATAACAGTGAGCATCCAAAACGTAACAGCAACTGCTGTCTGTTGAACGTCCTGACTGTGTGCCGAGCCTTGAGCTGAGAAGACGTCACTTGGTTTAACTCATGTGATGTGCGATCCCACTCTTAGGGCGGGTCCCCATTTTACAGACAAGGCAATGGTCACAAGGTGACTAAAAGACTGATCGAAGGTCACCCTGCAGGAAGAAAGAAGGGCTGGAATTTAAACTCGGATGCTCTGGCTTTCAAACCCAAACTCCTAACTACACTCAGAGTGGCAATTTAAAACAAAACAAACAGAAGCCAAGCAGGGGTTGGGGAGACGGCTCAGTCGGTAAGTGCCTGTCAGGCCAGCATCAGGACCTGAGTTTGGATACCTGGCACTCACGACAAAAGCTGGGCATGGTCACATGCATCCGTGACCTAGCTGATGGGGGAGGTAAGGCAACAGACAGGCAGATAATCCCCAGGACTCTCTGGCCAGCCAGCCTAGAAGTTGGTGAGCTTTGGCCTCAGGGAAAGACCTTGTTTCAAAAAAACAAGGTGGAGAGAGGAATAGAGGAAGACACTGATGTCAGCCTCTGACCTCCGCACACATAAGCACACACAAGCATGCACACCAACACACAGATTTACACCATACACTACGCTCACACACAAAAATAAAAATTAAGAAAAAAAATCAGATGCGTATTTTCAGACATAGATAGTTAATCTGGAAAATTCCATTTGTAAAGATTTTGCAAAAAAGGAGGGATTTCACAATGGGGACCAGACAGCTGGCTGATTCAGCCTCTGACCCCAGCAGAGACCATCCTCCCTCCCATTCTGGCTGCTCTTGTGCCTTCTGTCTCCTTCCTTGAGCTCCACAAACGGCTCCCTCCACCTAAAGCAGTGATTCTCAACTTCTGGGTCGAGACCCCTTGGGGGGGTTCCAATGACCCTTTCACAGGGGTCACCTGAGACCACCAGAAAACACAGATATTAACAGTTCATAACAGCAAAATTACAGCTATGAAGTAGCAAGGAAATAATTTTATGGTTGGGTGGTGGTGGTGGTGGTGGGGTCACCATAACATGGAGAACTGTGTTAAAGGGTCAAAGCATTAGGAAGGGTGAGAACCACTGATCTAGAGATTATGTTCTAGCATTCTGGGCTACCCAGAGGGCGTGGAAGCCACTGAGATGGCTCCTCTCTGTCCCTTGCCAGTCTGCGCCTTCGTTTACACTACACTCTACCTAATCGTCTGTCTGTCTCAGACAAGAACTTTGTAAACTCACCACCAACCAGTTGCAGACGCTTATTTCATAGATGGGAGTGTGGGTCCAGTGCAAGGGCCATGCAGACAGGCAGCTGCGTGCCACCGATCCCATCAGGCAGGGCAAAGGCTGTCGGGAAGGGAATAGTACAGCGGGGATGCCAGCCCAAACTAAGAAAGTTCAGAAAATGAGAGGCAGGGAATTTTTCTAGAGGAGGTGGTCCACAGGAGCCCAAGTATGCAGTTGTGATAAAGTTAGGAAACATAAGACGGTTGGCATAGGGTGGGACGCGAATCTGAATCTCAAAGTCTGCATTAAATAGCTGTGTGGCCTTGGGCAAATTATTTGACCTCTCCGTGTTTCAATATCTCCCCATATAAATAGAGAAAATAGTAGCAGCATATGTCTAGAGTTAATCAAATCAACATGTTTAGGTGCTTATAGCAATGCAAACTGTGGCTATTATTGTTAGTGTTATTTGGGAGTACGTAGGGCCAAGGGCATTAAGTTTTCCTTGATGTCTCCATAAAACCAGAGGAGGTCATTCATGAAGTCCCTGGCCACCCCTGCTGGCTCTGGGAGCACCAGGTCTGGGATCCAGACTTAGGGCATGTAGAGAAAGTCTCAGATCTGTGACACCCACCACATTTACTGACTGACCACTAATGTACTACTGATACCCTGTCCACCTTCCTCCTGGCTTCCCATCTTGGGTTCTAGCGCCCCTGGCAGTTCCTGTGGCTCAAGAAGTTCCCTAGCCCTTCAGTAGCTAAGGCTTCCTCCGCAGAGCCAAGTCTCTAGGTCAGGATGCTCCTGGGGGGCGGGGGATGCTGCACCTCCGGGACCGGCGCGCGCTCTAGCCACCTCGGCCCTTCTAGGAGGCGCCTCGCCTGTGGCCTGCGGTCAGTGTGAACTGCAGGGCGTGGGCCGGCAGGTCTGGCTGTGCCTGACGGGGGTTGGGAGCCAGAGGAATCTCGCACAACGTGGCCCAGGCTGGCTAGGAGAAAGAGACCTGCCTGCCTGCAGGAGGAGTCCCCAGCCTCTCCGGGCGCGGCGCGTGGAGGACAGCAGGCCCGCGCACCAGACTGTCGCCGCGCAGGTACGTGTCCCTCGCGAGCCAAGCTCCTTCTTTTTGCTACAGTCCCAGGTCGCTGGTGCGCCAGGGCCGGGAGAAGCGCGGGGGGCGGGGGGGCGGTCTGCGAGTGGGTTGTGGGTCCCGCCCGGGAGCGCACACACACCGCAGGGTCGGGCGTGCAACCGCTCCCCGGCGACAGATGCGGGAGCGGCCGCACGCAGACGCGTGTGCACGGCAGAGGCGGGCACACCCCCAAACAGCATCGTGTGCGTTCGGTGGACCCGCAGAACTGACTGGGACCGGTGGTGTCTGCCCCGAAGCGCTGGCGCCTCCCGGTCCTCTCCTGGGTCGGGTGTCTCCTTATGTGGTCGCCACTGGGTTTAGCAGCCACCCCCGCGGCTGGCTCCGTGGCCACCTGGTAATTTCTTCACCCGCAAAAAAAAAAGTGTGAGACCTTTAACCCTTCATTTCCCCAGCTCTGGTGATCCAAAAATTGCACTGGGGTCTTTTCCCTGAATCTGTGTGTCCCTTCTTCCGGTAGGCTCTGGTCACACCTCAGACAGAGACCCAAACAGTTCCCATGTCCTCACCTTCCACTCAGGGAGGGGAAAGCCAGTCAGCAGGAGCATTACCAGCACTTGCTGGTCTGAACCCCTAAATCCCCTCTGGGAATCAAATGGTCCTGTGTCTGGATGAAGGGACGGGTGGACAAAAGCGAAGGAAACGCGAAGGGAAGCAAGCTTTCTGGGGCTCAGCACTGGGTAAAAAGGGCACTGTCTTGGTGCCAATGTGCCCGAATGGCTTTGGGCATGTCTTGCTGTGAAAGGGGAAAGGGATACCTGTGGATGGATGAATCAACCCCCAGAGTTTACTGAGGTGACATGAAGCAGTCGATTGCCCTCCCATCTGACGATCCTTTGGAATGACACAAATCTGAGACAACAAAGACTTGCTTCATTGTTTCTGCCTCCACCCCCATCGCCACGTCTCATTCAGAGGTGAGCGTCCAAGAGGGAGAGAGGGGAAATTCCCGACTCAGTGGGCAATGCCGAGGGGCCTGTATATATGGATTGCCTTGAGTTGTCTGCCCAGTTCCAGAACTTCATGGCTTCATTCAGAGCCACCTCTTCTGTTAGAGTTTTGGGCTCCTCCTCTTCCTCCTTGTTATCCTTCTTCTTCACTCTTTCTCTCCTACCTGTTCCCCAGAGGGCTGCATGCATGCAACACACATCTCTAATCCAAAACACCCTTACTTCAGTGGGCCCCTCTGAGAAAGGGACCTGCCACTAGAGTTCACTTTCTAGTGGATCGATGAGACCACGCACCTCTGACCTCCAAGATGTAGATACCAACTCGGAGAATACCCCACCCCCACCCCACCCCACCTGCCTCTGCTGCACTTTCCGGGTAAAATGCACACTGTAGGAAGAGATTTCCCCAACAGGGACTAGAGTCAGAAGGACAATTGAGTCGGAAGGACAATTAAAGGGGAATCTCCAGGGGCTTAGTGAAACTCCTGTTTCAGCTGGCTGACCCCAACTGATGTTCTTTCACTTTCTAAACTTTGGTATTTTGCAGGGAAATAGAGATGATAATACCCACATGATAGAATCAATACGAAAATTGCAATTAAATAACCATGCAAATGAACCCAGTACACGGTGGACCCTCAAGTGATTTGGGAGACAGGATTACTAACATTCCTGTTAGCCACTGCCGCAGAGCAAAGCACTTTAAATGCATGAGCTCAGCTAGGTACCGTTGATGGGAGGAAGAGTCAGTCTTCTTTAAGGTTGTGACCCACCGTAGGTCAACTGTGCTCCAATGGGTGGCCCCACACCCAGGAGTATATGGGCAGCATACTGGATTCAATATGGTTATAAAAAATGAGGATAGGAAGTTGGGGGAGAGATGGATAGGTGGGGGTGGATCCAGGAGGAGTTGGGGGAAGTGGAAATGAATGTGATCAAAATACAGTGAATGAAATTCTCAAAGAACTTCATTTTATATATTAAAATTATTTATTTTTATTTGCGTTAGTGTTTTGCCTGCATGTATGTCTGTGTGAGGGTGTCAGATCTTGGAGTTACAGTTGTGAGCTGCCATGTGGGTGCTGGGAATTGAACCTGGGTACTCTGGAAGAGCAGTCAGTCCTCTGAACCTCTGAGCCATCTCTCTTGCCCTCATTCATTTTTAAAGAAACAAGAAAAACAAACAAACAAAAAAGATATTTGCTCAGAACACTTGTTTATGTTGCTCAAAAGACTGCGATTTAGGAAGGGCTCAGAGGCATTGGGAGGTCTGTCAGCTGGATGGCCCATCTGCAATTGGGCCACACACTTGAAGAGCAGGAGTCTCATCCCAGCTGTCAACTGGGGGTTCATCTGGGGCTGTCAGCCCTTGTCTTGGTTGGTGAGCTCCCTCCAATTTAGCACTTAAATT